CTGCCCGGAGCAGGTTTGCCCCACACCCCGCCGTGCACAAAGACCGACAAGCGTAGGGCGAGGACCCGTCCATCGCCGCTTGCGGCTTTAATTAGTTTTTTTTTTTTAAATTTCTTTCCTTTTGGCTGTGCTAGAGTTTGAACCAGTAAAACAAAAATATAAAAAACTTTTTTTCTTTGTAGCACATTTGTGTTCTAAACATACCAAACAAGTTTAAATAATTAGGTTAATTTAATTATCACTCTACAATATTATCCAGCTTTACCTATTCTAAATAATAACATTAAGACCCCACAGTAATATATACGATATATAAAACGTTTATGTGAATTAACAGCTTGAGGACGATACAATAAAGCTCTTAAAACAAGTGTATTATTCATAGTTTATTTATTGAATCTAAAAAAAAAGAACAAGCAGGTAATGATGTGACTCAAGCAAACAGAGGTACAGATAAAAATAATACATTTGAAAAGGTCACTTTTTATTATAAAACCCCAAAGATGAATAACTGAGAGCCCTCACACACACTCACACTCCTGTTTTACGCTACACTACTGCGATCCACAGACGGCAGTTTGTCAAACCTGCCGTCTGCTACAAATAATTAGTGTTTGGAGAATAATACAGCAAAGCCTCTTCCCTTAACAGCACCTGGTTTATGTCTACAGGTCGTCTTTACTGCTGATAAATCACTCGCTTATTTAAAAGATCAACACATACTGTTTGCTCGTCCCCTCACGTGTGCATATCGACATATTATGACACGAATAAACCTCCGAACATTCACGAAAACACGGCGACAGGGAACAAAAATATGCTTTCAAATCTATTATTTCTCTCAAGCATCATAAACGATGAATCTCTCTGTACATGATTCGAAGCAGATGATAAAAATAATACTATGAGCTGAAGTGTTTGTGTTGCCGAAGTAGAGAGGAAACGTTCTTGTTAATTGGCCCCGTGATTCTGCAACGATTTAAACATCAGAAAAAAGGTAAAAAGATTATTATTGATCATTTGTAATCAATCCTGCAACTGATGCAGAAGGCAGAACGTATTCGTACTACATGAAGCTCTAAACAAAGCTCAGTTTTCCATGCTGGAAACTTGAAGTGCAGCTTCAGTTGGGAATTTTAAACTCCTAAAACAGAGGAGGTCATCAGCTTTTTGGTCCATAATCGATGCACTGGACAGTAAATAGCGATCAATATACACGATAATCCACTTTAAACTGCTCCTGCTTACATTTAGGTGGAGCTTCTACACAGTGAGCACCTGAGCCCAAGACTCACACTTGAGACATTTCAAGCTCGTTTCTGTTATTTTCTGATCTTTGGTGAGACTGAACTGCATTTCCAACACGTGAAGATACCTGATCAACACGTCGTGAAGCTGAACTCCAATACGGTATCTGGAAAACGTATTTAGAGCTGCAAAAGGCGACTTTGGGGCTGCGAGACGGGAGTTTGTAAAGTCGGGCCTCGAGAAGCATTTTGCAGCTTTAACTACTACAAAGCAGACCAAAGCTTTGTTCTATATGTTGTCGTAGTCGCTCTGCTGCTGCGTGGAGACAAACGAGGGGGTCTGACATTGGAAAAGGCAGGAGAGGGATGGAAAAGGGAGCAAAACAAAGCCGGCAAGGAGACCTGAGGACGTCTCGCACAGTGTCGAAGCGTTAAAAAATGAGGCGAAGAGAGAGAAAAGTGTGAAAAGGATCTGAAAAACGTCTCCCTCTTTCTTTCTGCAGGTCGGGGAGATTCTTAGCTCGTCTCATCTTGGCGTCATCATTGCCGGACCTCCACGTAATTGGCGGGAAAAAGGCCGTATGCGCCTCTGCAGACGCCCCGCCACCAGCCCTCGTCGATCATCTCGATGTTGGTGATGATGTCGTCGGGGTCGAAGGAGATCTCGTCGTCGCCCGCTGGAGAAAGACAAGAAGCGAATGAGAAAAGAGCTGCGGATGTCTGTGGAGGTTAAGTGACAGATTTCTGAGGCATTTTTCCCCCTTTTCTAGTAGTTTATAGATTAATTAAGCAAGAAAACCCTGCAGCCTAACGGACCGTCCCCACTGTGTCTGTTGGTATCTGCCTTTAGCGTTCAGCCCATCAAGCTGCAGTCATCACACATCATTCGATCAAGTCCTCCACCTTCTAGTCATCTCAGTCGGCTGATATCACCCATGGAAAGTTGGGGTAGAAGCAATTTTACACTTACAAAGAGGAACAAAAGTCCACATTTGGAGGCACAAGTAAGCCGACTTTCAGCCAAGAGACTTGATTCCCATCTCGGATCATAATCACAGAGTAAGTAACATTGTCACGACCACAAAGAGTTCCCGACATTACTTTGTGTTCATCAGGGATCAGAACAGATGATAACGGCCATTTAGTGGGTCGATAACATCCAAATCAGGTGGATCTACGTGTACAGTTTGTGTGGTGGTTCAGTTCTAACACTCTACTGTTTGGTCTTTTAAAATGCATCACAAAGAGTAACATCATCTCTGCTTCCTGTAGCATCTGCAGAGTGTTTCCCTGCTTGTTAGAAGTGGACCAACTCTTCATATGGATCAGAAGGATCGTAAAGCACACAGTCAGGTAACACAAAAGCTCTGTAGCCTTTTCAAAACAAACAACAGTGTCGGCTTCCTCTAACTGTTTAAGCGATGACTTTTTCTTATTTGTTTTGGCACATTTATGAGGAGAGATTATTTTTTTTGATTCCTGAATATATTTCACTTCTTGCCCAAGTTTTTACTGACTGTTAGAAAGTGTTTTTTCTCACACAACTCAGTGTGAACGGACTGAATTAAACTGCCTGGAGAGGGATGTCAAAGCCTCACTAGAAGTATCTGATAATTGATGTAGCTCCTCTGCTTCTGTTCTCTCAAACCATCTGTTTTCTGATGTACATAGCCGTCCTCAGAAGTGTCCCTAAGATGTGTGGACTGCAGAGTGTTACCTCCTGTGTCGTGTAGCGGCTGTTTAGTCTGCTCCGTATCGGTCTGTGCACTCCTCGCTGCATATACAGTGTTGATGAGCTTGTGTTTTATCCTGAGGATGAACCTGTTTTTGTCTCAGTGTTTCTGGAAAATTTTATGGAATCACAATGTTGTTCCTCCTTTTCATTTTTTTCTCCGTGCTGATGTCATGGTGGTCCAGTTGGGACAGTCGCAGGTTTTAAGTGCCTTCTTAATACGTCTGTGCTTGTTTTCTTTTCCCTCTGCCTTGGTGGGAAGCTACTGTTTGATTCCCACCACCTACTGGAACATAAGCTGGATGTTATCAAAACTTTACAGCATCAAGTTTAAATCCTTCCTACCAAGACAGAGGACAAAAAAAGGAGCACACATACTAAGGAAGCACTTAGAACCTGTGACCGTCCCAACTGGAGCTTTCTTGAAGTCAGCAAAAAGATATCAGGGGAAAAAAACGTGTAACATCCCGATGCACTTCAGAGCAACAGCAACACTCCGACAAAAACTGGTTCATCCTGAAGTTAAAACAGCCAAACACAACCTGAGTAATGTTCAAGAAGCAATCCAATGTGGCGAGGAGTGCACAGACCTGTAAATACTGTTCCAGAAGAGTGAGCTCCTCAAGACAAAACTCAACAGTTCACCTGCTTACAAATTATAAGGGACGCTGCTTTACAGACAGATGGTTTGAGAGCAGAGTGAACAAAGCCATCTAATATTCAGGTGGAACAGCTGCTCACCATCACTGATCAGGTTCTTACTATGCAGTCCTGACATCCCTCCCCAGGCAGAGTCACCACCAGTCACACCTTGAGTCATGTGACAATAAATACCGCCAGTCTCACCTGCTTGGTAGTCGTACAGAGCCACAGCTGTTACCCCGACGTCCTCGCCGTACTCGTACTGCTGCCCGTCTGCAGGAGAACAAAGGTTGGTCAGTGAGAAGTCTACAGAGGGACTAAGGAAACCACTGCAGCTCATATAAGAACTCAGCAATCCCACACACAGACAGACTATTAGTTTCTAGAAACTCAACTTGTAATCTTTTTTTTCCACTTTATTGCTCTGTATTTTGTTCCTTATTCACACAGCGTGTATGTGTGTTTTCATGTTGTAATGACCTGCCCCACTGACCACAGGCGATTTTCCACCTTTGTAGACATTAAAGTTACTTTCTAACATTTGTTATGTGTTACAGAAACAATTCAGAGTTGATAAAGAGCTGTACCTGCTGCTGCTGCGGTTTCGTCAGGGTTTTGGTAGAGTTCCTCCTCCGGTGCATATTGGTTGCTCGGTGGCTGCGACTCGTACAGCTGCTCTCCGTTTTCTGCAGTTTCACTGGGCACATCCTCGATGTTCTACAAAGACAAAGGTAATCTGTCAACAAAGGCTGCAACACTCATGTTGAAAAGAGCGTAATAAATATGTAAAGATATAAGAGAAACACGTTATTGTTCACGTCCTGTTTTTGACAGTTTATTTGATCTTATTCTGTGATGCCAGGACCACACAAGCATCTACATCAGAGGTTGAATGATTATTAAGTTTCAACATTTAGCTTTTGCTATATGTATTCTTTTTTTTTAACAGATTCCTAATAAAATAAATTTCTTTGAAACGTTTGTGTTGGAGTTCAACTAATTCAAACACAACACACTTTCTGAAACTCGCAGATAAAAGTTAGAAACTGCAAATGCAGCGTCATTCGTCTCTTTTCTGGTGTTTTAAATATTTTTGTGTTTATGTTGGCAACTTTACTGCAACCACAGCAAAATCCAATCATGTCTGTGTAAAGTGTTTTGTAGCATTCACTTGCTAAGTTAATTGTTATAAGACAATCTTGCAGTTTGTGACGTTTTCCTGCGACTCAAGCAGCACAGTGGAGTCAGTTAACTGAGGATATGATGATTTGTGAAGACGAATGCATGAGACCTCCAGCTCACATGACCAGTGATGCAGACAGTGGATTTGCAGTATACACTGTTTCTTAAGTAGCATGAATGAAATTTGTTTCAGAACTGATGAGCAAAATTGAACTTAATGATGCCTTTGGTTGGAACACATTTTAAGTTGGAACCAAGTACAGATGCCCAACACTAACAATTATCAATAATGTTTTAAAAAAAATGTACAGTGGAAAGTTATTTTTTTTTGGCCTTTGTGCCTTTATTCGATAGTGCAGTGAGAGAGAGACAGGAAAGTGGGGGAGAAGAATAGGGGGGGGACATGTGGGAAAGGGCCATGAGCGGGATTCAAACTCATGCCCTGCACATGGGGACTGTAGCCCTGCACATGGGACGCCGGCTCAACCAGGTGAGCTATAGCAGCGCCCCAGCCGCTGTACATTTAACATTCATCATAATAGCTGTTCTGACATCAGAAGGTCGTCGTAATAAGGTGCCCGTCTGAAAGGAGCTAAACTTCCTCTAAACCTTCTGTGAGCTGCTGCTCTGTGCAGAAACACTTAAGCTGAGACAGTGACTGACCTGGTAGGCTGGAGCTGCTGCTGCAGGCTGCACTGGTGGGGTGGGGCTGGGGCTAGCAGCCGGGGCAGGAGACGGAGCTTTGGGGGTCTCTTCGATTTTGCGGCGCGCCTCCTCCTGCTCCTGCTTCTCTTTGGCCTGTCGACGCGCTCGCTCCTCCTCGGCCCTCTTCCTGTCCTCCTCCTCCTTCTGCTTGGCGATGTTCTCGAAGCGAGCCTTGATGCTTCCTGTGCTGCTGCCAGCTGATGAAGAAGTGAAGTTAGATCACATGTTGCCTAAAACTTCGGGCTCAGAGACTGATGATGATGATAAAAACTCACCAGCCTCCACAGGTTTGGTTTTCTGGTAAGATGGCGTCGGCTTCTCCACATCATCAAACGTGCCTGCGCTCTGTCCAACAACACAGATTCAGATGTAAGACAATTGTCTTCACACAACTACACTACAAACACACACAGATGCATATCACAATAAAAAAAAATCTGAGATTGTTGCTGTTGCGTTTGCACAGGAAAGGGAACGTGTGCGAGGCCGCCCTCCCTCAGCCTCGTTCTGCTGGAGGTTTCTTCCCGGTATAGGGCAGGTTTTTTTCTTTCTAGTGCTGATGCAGGCTTGCTCAAAGGAAGTCAAACAGAAACTTTGGATTTGTTGGGTTTCTCCATTGTGTGAAGTCTCTTGAAATTTCTGCAAGTGTTCAGGAGTCTGTTAGAAACTTTTCAATATGCAAGTGCTTTGAGATGACGTGTTGTGAATTGGCACTATAGTCTGTCACCAGCCAAGACCACCCAACCTGTTCATTATTTACTTCAGGATTAACGTGGTTGTGCACTGTGAATTTGCCCCATCAGGGTTACACTGCTAGAAATGTAAAATGACGGCTCATGTTATAACAAAGTTGAGAACATTTAGTGCTTATTACAAGTGTTGCAGGAGCACTGGGAGCTGTGTATCGCTGCACAAGGAGACTATTTCATCAGGAACGGCAGCCAAATTTACATCAGAGGGGTATACTACGAAGCAAGTCTGACATAGCCAGGCTGTGTTTGTGTAAGCTGAATCGACAAAACCGAAAGCCAGAGATTACAGGTATCATAAAGGTGGTTTTAAACTTTCTTTGTCAACACAGACTTGATACATATGTACTCGCCAACCTAAACTGGCATCAGCAGCCAAGTACTGCCTGTGCGGAGCGCTTGGTCTCCGTCTCTGCGATATTGTAACTACACAGCTTCATTCAGTGATATTGGTAACGCACAACTCAGCATGTTTGCAGATAAAACACATTCCCTCAGCTGAGAATCTGTATCGCTCATAGATAATAGTCAGGAAACCATCTGGTTAAAGGGAGACGCTCTTTCCTGCTGATTTAAATCTGAAACTCTGAACATAACCTGCTCCCGAGGTTAGCTCCACAGCATCAGTTACCATGGAGATCTAGCCAGGTAAAAAGAGAGCCACCTTCATGGTACTGAAAACTCTGGCTGTAAGCTCAACATAGCTAACCCACTAATCTCACTTCGTAGTACAGCCCTCTGGTCTTGCTTTTTAAAAACGCAGTCTTGGAAGCTTTTGATTGCACTTTGAACACTCCTTACCTTATCCATGCGGTCATTCTGGACACCAAATTTCCCTCCGAATCCTTTAGAATAATCTGGTAACAAACAGGAGAGACATGTTATTTTATGTTTAGTGACACCACCTCAGTCAACGTCATCAGAACCAGAGCAGACAGAAAATAAGCACCAACGAGGGTTCAATTTGGGCTCTTCAGTGACTCAATAACAAGCTTGGTCTGAAAAACCCCTCTCTGGTCTGCAGGTTCAGATGAAACAGACTGTGGTTGGAGGAGTTCAGAACAGAAAGAACAGCTGGAATCAAAGGACGGGCTGCTGAGCTCATGCAAACCTGTAAAGAGGAGGAACAAAAAAAAATAAATAAAAAAGAAACAACTGACTGCAGGACTGATAGGAGAGTCTTTACATAAGCTCGAGCAGCCATCTCGGCTTATTCTGTGCACTGAAGATCAGCCATGTCTCTGCAGCAGGAGGCTTCATGAAACGCAACAACGTCATGCACAAAATGAATGGATGGATGCAGAAGCAAACAAACAGCATGGTGGCAGTGCAGAGGGAGGTGATCGGGGAGGTGAAGGCCGAGGTGATACACTGTCAGTGATAAATACACACCGCATTAGACTATGAGTCCACTTACACTGTATAAAATGGCTCATGCAACAAGAAGACGACCTTTTTTTTTCTGCTTGCATAGGGGGATATTTCAATTAAAGTGTTTACAGACTGACATCACTTGGCCCAAAGTGAAGGCTGTTTGTAGTGAAGGGGGGGAGATGGGGAAGCGTTTCATTCAAGTGCTGCTAAAAAAATAAAAATAAATAAAGACTAAAGACTCGGTAGAAACCTGCCACACCTGAGCAGCACAGATCGACAAAAACCAGCAAAAACTTCAGCTGATGACTAAACTGTAATTTTGAGTCAGTTCATGTGAGAGAAAATGTATGCAGCCAAGCAGATAGTTTCAGTTTTTAATGCCAACGTTATTTAAAAAATCTTCCACTGAGACTTTGAGGTCTGTGTCAACAGTTTCTGGTTAAAAAAGATAAAAATAAAAAAAAAAAAGAAAGAAAGAAATCCAAGGTTTCTATTCAATGGTACTTAAGTAAAAGCACCAAAACCACAGTGTAGAAATGCTGTGTTCTAAGTAAAAAAAAGTCCAGCATTTAAGTTTTTACTTCACTACTCATTCTGCAGAATAATATCTGTTATTGGAATATAATTACTGATGCATTAATGTGTTCCTCATTTTAATGGTGCAGCTGGTAAAGGCGATTTAACTCCTTTATATCTGCTGCTTGAGTATCTCCTCGGGGCTCAATAAAGGTTTAACGTCACCTACAGCATTACATCAGAATTTATTTGTGGAGTATATTTTCTATTTCTAAACTAAACCTGCACAGTAACTAAAATTATCGAATAAATGTAATGGTGACAATGGAAATACTCAAAATACAGTTACAGTACTTGAGTAAATTTACTTTCCATCACTGTAAAAACATGAAAAATTAAACCAGAACTATCTGCATGGCTAAACATTAGTAGAGGCAAATAAGTGTTTTGTTTGTTTGCTTGTTTGTTTGTAGTTGACAGAAGTTACTGATTATTATATAGCAGGGATGTCCAATCCTGGTCCTTGAGGGCCACAGTCCTGCATGTTTTAGAAGGTTCCCTCTTCCAACACACCTGATTCAAATGATCAGCTAATCATCAAGCTCTGCAGAAGCCTGATAACGATCCTGACCATTTGAATCAGGAGTGTTGGAAGAGGGAAACATCTAAAACATGCAGGACTGTGGCCCTCGAGGACCAGGATTGGACACCCCTGTTATATACGATTGCTAATAGTTACATATTTTAGTCGTTTGTCAAAAATCCCATGAAAAAAACAAAACTAGCAATTTATATGATCTTGCAGCAGTTGTAAAAAAAATAAAAATACATTTAAGAAAAAGGAAAATATCTATGGTATGTGGAGTCACCCTTATTTTCCACTATTGCCAACACTTGTGAGAACTTCAGATGTAAACTTTAAGTTTTTTTTCCCCCATTTTTAAAACAAAGAAATTTGCTTCTTTTTTTTAATTTTTTACAGCATTAGAACTGTGTGACAGGACATATTTCTGAGTTCTCTCTACTTCTAGTCATGTTTGTGTTGTTTCTATAGAGGTGCAGGACTTTATATTGCAGTAAAACATGAGTCCATAGTTAAGAAAACTGAAATAGAAGCAAAAACAAAGGCCCAGAAACTGCTTCAGAGAGGTAAATCACAGCTCAAAATATTCTCCAACAACTGCACTGTTTCCTCCTGTTTGCAATAGTTTTCTCAAAGCGGAAGCATTGAGAAAACACACTGCTTGTTTTCATGGGATTTGTTGACATGAACAGCCTGATCTTTAACGTTTATCAGTTAGTGCTGCAGAGGTGTGAGGGCTGCAGCAGGGCCGTTATGGAGGAGGACGGTGCCGAAGAAGCTAAGGTGGGGAGGGAGTATTTTTCCGGGAAAGCAGGGGTGAGGACCGACAGGGGTTTGATCAAGGGGGAGGCGGGTGTGATAAAGGGGGGAGGCGGGGGGGAGGGTGTTCAGTGTGTTCAGGGGGGGGTTTCTGTGCCTTTCTGGGACTCGTGCTTGGCCAGGCGCTCCTTGTGCTCATAGCCCAGAGCACACTGGTCCTGCCTCTCCACCTCTACCCCATACTGCCCTCCAAACCCACGCTTATAGTCTGCAACACAACACACACACACACACGTGGACACACAAACAGCAACACACGTTACAAACCCACATACAGAAATATACACAGAAAAACACACACATATAGAGACGATGAAGCAGCCGGCCGGCCACATGCTCAGTGACATGAAGCAGACACGTTATGTTCTTGGAGGAAATCTGGTCGGATCTACACCCTCAGTCCGCTCTGTACCGGCTTTCTAAGAATATTCGTGACATTTGCTGACTGGACGCGTCACTGTGAGTTAACAAACGCCTTGTCTGCCACGAAAATGCCAAGTTGCATGTATTTTTACTGCGGCTGCCTTTGAAAATGAGGCTCGAGTCTGCATGAATGCATGACCGCAGATCAAAATTGGCTCTGAACACTGAAAACTAAAAACTATTATTCCTCAATCCTTCTGTTATTAAGGCCTTCATTTATAATGTGATGTTTTATTTCTTTATGTTTAGCACTTTGTGTTACATGACATTTGTATGAAAAGTGCTATATAGTGCTATTTAACACTAGTAATAACAGATATAAGGTGTAATAATGTCTGGTTCAGGCCAATAGACGACCTCTAAACATTTTAAAACTACAATTTGACATTTTTTCTGCTGCTGTATGATATTTCCATGAAAGTGAAGGTCGCCTGTAGAGTGATGGGAACTGGCTGGAAACAAAGCAGTTAGTGGATAAAAAAAGGCTACACAATACATACTACATTCACTGTTAGACAACAAATTGCCATATTTGCAGGTGTTCAATGGTGAATTTTTCATTTTACTGGCAGTAGAGGGGGACAGCTGAGCCCCAGCAAACACTGCTAACTCGAGCTTAAATTTGGTTTCTTGCCATCTATACAATGACAGTAGCTCCAGTTGGACTGATCAACTGGTTCATCAGACCAAATTCTCATTGACTGGACAATCTGTGGTTACTTTCAGGATGAGAAAAGTACTACATTAACAACATTTCAGGATTAATCCATTATTTCTGGCAGCAGGAGGAACAGACTCAGTGATTTCACAACTTTGAACTGATCCAACCTCACTGAGACAGCTAACCAACTTATTTCATGTTTACTGAGTCGGCTCTAAACTAGCTGACACCGGGTCAAAGAATTCGTCAGTGTGGCGGCATTTTCTTCAAAAAGATGGACAAAAAGTTTAAACTTCTCACGTCAACGACCAACGTGGCAGATCATCGAAAATGGCAGCTAACTTGTCTGCCTTACGTTTCTCAATATTTCTCAACAATGATTTAATATGCGACAAATTCTAGCTTTTGATGTTTGTTTATTATTCCGTTAGGCTCATAAGGCTGCAGGTAGAGTGCGCCCGGTGCACTGTGCTCCATTTAGTCCATCTAGAAATTGAGAAACGTGACCAATCAAGTGGTTGAAAAGTGGGTTGATTTCAGTCGAGCAAACTTTTCTATGGCTCACTGCAGCTACAAGAACAACTGCAGAGAGAAAAGAATCGACAGAAAACTTTCAGAAACTCAGATTTTTACTCCTTTTAATTTGCTGCATGGATTGGCGTTGATTATCAGAAAATTGAAGATCAACAGCAGCCACAATTTAACTTATTAAAAAAAAGGCTTTTTGCAGCTTTGCGAATATCTGAACCCCTTTTAGTTTTCAGCTTGTAGATTCCTTCACTTTCTGTGTGAGAGCCTCAGCTACAAGCCTGACATGCAAATATAAATCTGAGCTGTGGTTTCACTTCCTCTTGAGTTTTTTTTTTCTGCATGTAGATTGAGGAAGCTGTCGACCTTTTAAAGGCCACACAGAAGCCACAACGAAACCACATCAGAGCGAATGTTCAGGGCTGAGGAGGAAGGAAGAAGGTTTTACAGTGAAACACAATCAAAGCAGGCGACGTGTGAAGGTTTGGTGGAAATGAACCCGGTTTAAAGTTCTGGCAAAAGTCTTCTGCAATTCAAACAATAAAAAATGTGCAATCTATCAGGTTTTATCTCTTATGTAGGAACTAGAGTGACAGCCGTTGTAAGAATTTGTAACCGAGAACATTACATATTTACACATGACGATTTATTTATAGTTTCTGAACTTCCTGTAAATGTGCAGAAATGTATAAATACTATAAACTAACAAGCTTCAGCTCTGGATCGTATTTGATTTAGCATCATTATCCTAATCAATGAAACAACCAGCAGGACACCTGAATAGTATTTACTGGCTATAAACAGGATTATCTCAGTATTTTCTGGATGCGTCCAGTTCAAACCTCATGTACATCCCCTCAGACCCCACAGAAACCACATCAGTACCTTTCTGGGACTCGTGCAGCTGTAGTTTCTCCTGGTGGTCCCATCCCAGCGCAGATTTATCCTGTCTGTCCGTCTGCACACCAAACTTTCCTCCAAAGCCCTTCACATAGTCTGCACGAAGCAATACACACAGAGACGGGCATCAAAACATCATGTCTAAATCGTAACTTGGTTATCTGGTGATTATAGCACGTCTCCTTATAATGGTTCTCCTGTTGATCAACTGAATGTAGATAAAATAAATGGTCAGGAATGGCCTGATGAATAAACAACCCTCTATCCCACTTTGCCATTGAACTGCTCAGCTAACTGCTACGTTGTAAGGTACTCGAAATGATGAAACAGAAACATATTTCTTCTAGTTAGAGGTGCTTGTTATTATTTAGAAAAACAAACACTGACATGTCTGTGCATCAGTCTGTGTGTTTGTGGAGCTCCACGAGAAAAATATGTCTATTTTGTTTGCAACACAGGACTTGATGTGTTGAAAAGTGATGGCTACATGTCAGCGCACAACAGGCAACGAGCAGAGCAAAAAAAACTAACCCCCAGAAAGTGCCTGGAGTTCAGATTGTTCACGTGTCTGAACTTTACATTGTGGTGAAATGAAAGGAATAAAACCACAGTATGTCATTTTAAACTGCAATAGTTATTTTACAATAGTTACATTTCTTAGTTCTTCTGTTGATAAACTGATTTTAGATGAAATAACGTGATCCAAATGTGCTAAACCACAGTGCTTTATTACACTGAGACTGTAAATATCACCATTTAACGTCTGCTCACTGATTTGATACAATATCTGCCAAAACCTGCAGTAAGTCCAATCTGTCTCATCTATTAGTTTGTTTGCTTCTAACCCGACACACATTTAGCAAAATCTGCATTAAATTTAAACTTGACTGTATTTTATTGGTTAACAATGCTTCTCAGATTGTCCACATGGTTTTACACATGTAAAGTTTTAGATTCCCAGTTGTTTTCACAGCGGTGCATTAAGATGACTGTTATCACAGCTCATATCACGTATGCAAACGGAGGCAGCAAACACATCCAGGCGCGTTGTGGGGAAATCTTAAGGTCAGTCATACCTTTGGCATCAGCCCTACAACCTGCAACTTAAAGGTGTGTAAGGCAAGAAGCTACAGGTCGCCCTGCTCTGCTGCGTTAAACAGTGAGTCCAGACAAGTCAGAACAGACTTGAGGGTGCGACTCGCTGAGGCCCTGCAGACACACAAAACTACGAACAACACAGCAGCAGCTATTAGAGTTTTCACTGATGATACTGGCTGTCTGACAAACCAAAACCACATCAAGTTGTAAACTGGAGATGTAGTTTTTTCAGCTGTGGACCAGCATAACCCAGAGATACCAGAGAGGCCGGATCAGATGAAACTTTAAAGGGCACTTGTAAACATCTTTTGAACCTGGTCTTCTTCTAAAATCACCAGCTACAATATATGCGTTTTTTTTTTTGGTTTTTTTTGCACACTTGCTTTTTAATGGTATTTATTTTTTACTGCTTTTAATTTTGTATGTTATTGTTAATGTTGAACCACTTTGAGATGCATATGTGGCATAAAAAAGTGCAATATACCATTAATATAAAGTAGCACTATTATGAGAACAAACTGCAAGTAAATATTCAGGTGACAGTCAGAGGTTGTTCCTCTGTCGCCAAACACTTTTGTAACTTGTCATTATAAAGTAGGAATATTATGACTGATGCAACCGAGTCCCTGAACTTTTCCTTTACAGAAATAAAAACATTTCCACCATAAACTGATGTAGAAAAATGAACCAAAAGGCAAAAAACGAAATATTTGATTCTCAAGCTATACTCCAGTGCTATGTAGGAACCAGAGTGTCTCAAAGAAGAAAAAGAACTCTGGATCTATTTACAGCGTTTATCCAATATTGGGTTTAACAGTCAAATATCCCTTTAAAGAGGAAAATTAACACTTCTTTCAATTCAAATCAAGTGACAGCAAGATTTTGCTCCTCCACTGCCAGATGTTTGTGTCAGTGAACACAAAGACTACATTACCAACATACGTCACTATTAGCTGGTTGATATTTTTAATGTTATGAAAACAATAATACAGATAGTGTAGCAGAAATGCCACATTTATACCTGCAGTCTACATCGGAATAAATGTTGAAAAGTGCTCCTTTAATTAAAAACGTAATACATAAACACACCAAGGCACTTAAATTAAGTTTGCACTACTAATGTTATATTTTACTACAAATGTATATCCTTTCCAATTATCGGTTACTAGTTGACCCTGAAAGCTCATGTTGACAATCGGGACTCACTTCTCTGCTTTCTCCTTCAGTTTTATTTGTTTATATGATAATACCACGATCAGATGTCACAATTTGTGTTTGTGAGTGATTCAACTGTCACGGTGCTGAATAAATTATGGAGAATATGACTGAAAACTAGTTCTTCTACCTACCTTTCTGCGACTCGTGCCTCTCTGTTTTGCCCTGGTACTCGAAGCCCACAGCGCTCTTGTCCACCTTGTCGGTCTCGACGCCGAACTTGCCGCCGAAGCCTTTGGCATAATCTGCCAAAGACCCAGAGAGAAGGAGGGAAAAGAAAACACAAAGTCAAGAAAGGAAGAGGAGTTTGAAGAGGAAATGATTCTCTCCAAAGATGCCTCTTTCGTTTGTGGATTGTTGACTCATGGAAACATGATTTTTAGTCTTGTTTTGTATTTCTCACAGAAGAGTCGAGAGACAAAAACAAACACTTGCGAAGCAAATGTCAGGAGTTTTAGGATTTGAAGAAAAAGAGAAAGTATTTCTTTATCTCAAGTCATCACATTGTTTTGAACAATTTCTGCTTGACCAGACGTTCTTATAGCATTAAATATGGATATTCATAAAGATATTTGTGAAATTTTAGCTCGATACATCAAATAGACAAATATTGTTTAATGACCCATCGACTCACTTTCAGCACATTTTTTGGTGCATTAAAATTTGAGATCATTTTTGAACCACAGCATCTCAGGAACTATCAAAGATAAAAGCCTGATGTTTAACTGCCATTTCTCATTATGTCATTGATTCAGAATCCTAAAATTGAGGCTGTCATGAAAAGTCCCATATTTGAGCACATATTAACAAAAAAAATGATTTTGCAGAGGTCAACAGATGATATTTTCTGAACCATATGGGGCTGCATGTCACAATAATAAAAAACAAAACATACAGAATATTTTTAATATAAAATACTTGGTCACAAAAAAATGGGATAAAGTTACTATGGTTTAACTTCCATACCTGACTGAGCAGATATGACAAGTCGTACCACAAAAAACAAAAGTGTTGGCAGATAGTATAATCCACGTAAAATAGAGTTCTATAGTTTCAAAATAGTTCTTAAAATAGAACTGAGACAAATAATGTTGAATGCATGCATCATTGAGTTAGGCTGTCTACCGACATGACTGCTTCTGTGGTACAGCTGAAGTTAGAAATCTGAGGTTTTTATCTTAAATAGTTCCTGAAATATCATCACATAAACAAACCATCAAATTTCAATGTGCGAAAAATTTGCGAAAAACATTAGCTAATATATTAATTTTAAATTTCTCAAATTCCATTCTAAATATTTGTTTCTGATAAAGTTTAAAGCAAATCAGAGATGGTCGAGCAGAAAGACCCTGATGATTTGAGATGGAATGAACCATAACTAAGCTAGACAAAAACCAAACACCTTCTCAAAGCTGGGCCTGTTCAAAAATAAAATAATATCCGACTCCACCAGCTGGGTGACGTCTAACCACAGACCAGCTCCAGACTACGAGGCAGTGGTGAGTCTGTGTCAATCACCTGAAACCTGAGTGGAGGACGGAGCAGCGACACGTTAATGGAGTCAACATTTTAGAGCTGAAGCTCTCATCTGCTTACAAAATGTGCTGTGTGTGGTCGATATCTTACAAACACCGTCACCAGGATGTGTTATTTGACTCCGGGGAAAACAAACATCACACAAGCAACTGAGGAGTGAAAAGAAGAAGCCATTGTTTGCAGGCGAAGGCAGAGGAATGAAGGAAGAAATGCAAAACAACATGATTTGCCAGGACCTGTGTGAGGCCCAGTTTTTTTACATATACATATACATATATGTGTGTGTGTGTGTGTGTGTGTGTGTGTGTGTGTGTTTTCTCCACATCCCCCCGGGTTAATGGAAAAGCTGCGTGGCAGCAGGAAATCTCGACAAACCTTTCTGGGACTCGTGTTTCTCGGTTTTGCCCTGGTAATCGAAGCCCACTGCGCTCTGGTCGACACGATCTGCCTGCACGCCGTACTGACCCCCAAACCCAGTGGAGTAGTCTACACAGCAAAGCAAGGGGGGGGCAAGGGTCAAAGGTCAGGGTGAAGCAGCATGGCAGCAGTGGTCGTGGAGAAGCCCAATTCCAAACTTCCCTTTAATAATACTTAGTGGTACTAACGCTGACAGAAACACAGTTATCATCACACAGCTCCTCTGAGGAGAAGCGCTGAACACTGTAGCCGTGTTTCCATCACACATTTTTAAGAACATTTAGAAGAGTCACATTAGAAAGTTAAATGAAATGGCAGCATTAAAAATAGTTTCCTAATTTTTTATATTTCTGTTATATTCCTTAATAGTTCTTGTGCTGTTTTGCTCCCAGTCTATTGTTATCATTTCAGTCTAAAATAAATCACTTCCATTGCCTTGATATGCTGCTATATGAGCTTTTTATGCTGATTTATAACTGATTTAGGCTACGAAGGCTTTTTCCCCCCCTGTGACCAATCAATCGATCAGTTGAACAGTTGAACAAGATTTTCTTTGGTAAACTACAACCCCACTAATTACTAAAGGGTTATCGCTGAATCTGACTTTTTCCTCTTACATTGAACTGTGTTGCTTTTTATTTTCTGTCATTTATTTATGGTTAAAACCCAAAAAGACTTGCAACTTTCCTCATCTGTGCAATTTTGAAGTGGTACCTGACTCTTTCCAAAAAGAGTTATTGAGCTTCACTGGAGAAGTTCATTATTCGGATGAGGTGTTTCTGCTTCTAGAGGCTCTGGACAGAACCAAACATGGCCGATACCAGCTGACATGAAAGACGAGTTACAACGTGACCAACTGAAATAAATTCCTGACGTCGTCTCTCCATTTTTCTCTTGGAGATGAACAAAGACTGGATTCCAATTTGCATACGTTTTCCTTAAAGTATGTACTGCAGCTGCATCTACAAAGTACCAACTGTTTCATGCAGTACACATACATTGGGACATACTACCTCATCACAATAATGTGCTTTAAACTTTCAGTGTTGTAGTGTAAAACGAGCTGTAGTTGGGCGTTTTGGTATTTTGGCCACATTACATTTGATATACTATGTACTGGGACATAAAAAGTCATTTTCTGACGTACTAGATAGTATTTTACATTGTATAGTTACTTGCTTCAAATCAGTTAATGAAAACAAACCATAAGATCTTACAAGTTTGCTACAGAGCTCCTTGATAATTGTATGGAAACACGGCTTGTGTGGCGTCCTGCTGGTGGAGGAAAATCTTTGTTCAACACTGACACCAATGAGGAACCACTGGAATTGGGCAAATAATCGGGACTTTGGAGGAGATGAAGGCAACATAAAGACGGCGACAGTATGGAGTCATGAGAATGCAGCTTAAAATACTAGAAGCTAAGAAGCCGGAGGAGCACCAGGTTACTGTTCATACTGAAAACAGTGCAGGCTGTCAGCATTATCAGTCATTTTCACCTCATGTGGTCTTGAATTTTAGTCTCAATCTGAAAGTTCTGATTTCTGTAGCACAGACGTAGATTTAACAGAGGACGGTGGGAAAACATAACACCTCTGAAAGGGTGAGGTCTTTTTCTTCAGATACGTATGTGTTCTAAATGTGCAGAAAGTTTTGAACAGAAGCTGTTAAAGGTCAATGAATTAATGTGAAAAGGAGCCGTATGCACATATAGAGGGATTACTGTCCCAAACTGAAGACACCAAAGTTGATACTAAATGAGAAAAGTTGATCTACAGGAGAATAAATAATTAAAAGTAATGCAAAAGCACTCTACTACATAATACTCCATTATATTTTGAACTTAATTGGGTTTTAAAAAACATTTTCACCAAAAACGGATGAAGAAAAATTCTCAGATTGTAGAAAATTAAGTGTTCGATCCTCAAAATCTACGCCCATGCTATGTAGGAACAATAGTTTCTCAGAGTAAAAAGGGGCTATGATTCTACAGTCAAAAAGTCCTTTAAAGATGAAAGTGAGCACTGTCTACATTTAAATCCACAACCAGGGCTCCAGATTGCAACCATTTTAGCCAAACATTAGGGCTGAATGATTATAGATAAACATCAAATGGAATTTTTCAATGAAAGAGAAAACAAACCTGCATTTTTAATGTATATAAGAGTTATAAACAAAGGCAATGCTATAAATGTGTTATTGACTGTAACAAAAATAAAATAACAATATGCGTATTTAAATAAAAGTTAGACACCTGAATGCTCCAAATGTAAACAGTAAGTCTGGAGCCCCGACTATGAAGCCGAACAACATGCCTCTGTCTGAACACAACCTGCACATTCCTTGGTAAGATGTCTGCAAAATGGACCCTCTTCCAAGGCTTGCTGGTTACTGTTAAATATGTTTAACATTCACATATTTTCCAAACATGTCCATCTGTGCAGCAGGATCCTGGTAGAGCAGAGCGACTGATCGGCACAACAAGAGTGAATGTAGTACAGCTGGCCACGAGCCAAACGCTCATCAAACTATCTGCGACTGTAACGTGTGTCTTCTGTCGGCTACGCAGTTTACAAAACCTAATCAGCTGCAGAAAGGGGGAAACATACACTGTGAATTTAGAGGTTTATCACTAACGTGTCCACTGAGTAAGAAGCTATTTCCCTGTTTTGGACACAGCATATGACTGAAGTTGTTTTTCATTGTGGGTGATGTGCAGCAGAGGCAGACATGCACAAAGACAGTAAGTTACGACATCACCTTTCTGCGAGGCGTGTTTCTCCGTCTTCCCGGCATACTCAAACCCAACAGCTGACTGGAAAAGAGAGAAAGAAGCAAAGCAATCATTCCACTGACCTCTTACTCTGATATGTGGATGTGTTTAAGGACACATCTGATTTTATGAAACAGGGCTGCTGAATTATTCCTCCACTGTTTTTGGGTTTTTTTTGTACTTATGGAAATGAGAAGCACAAAAGGCTGTCATGGTGAACAGCGGAGACAAAACGGAAATCTTGCTCTTTGTTATTTATGCAAAATGTCATCTGAAGCAACACAGCGTGTTTCTTTCCTAAATATTACTCAGTGACATCTGTTGTTCTGCGTCTTACAAACAAACTGCCCGATAACAACCGTTTCATGCAGATGCGAAGGACAGCGACTAAAAAAAACAGAGAAAAAGCTGCTGAAGAAAAGAGTCGGGATTTCTATGTAGGCGTTTGTTTTTTGGCACAAATATTTATGGTTGGGACATTTTATTTGGGTGTAACAGTTTTTTGCTGCCTGAATATTAGTGCTGTTGTGTCTCCAAGTGGACTGGCTGGTCGATGTGCTCTAATTTGACTAAAGTCTCATTGGTGGGACAATGTTCATTGGTAATTTCATTATTTCGATTCGTTTAATTTTGGTCAACTAAGATTTTCTTTGCTTCATTAAAGCCCGACTAATTATGAATTTTAATTTACGCTCAAATATTTAATGTTCAACCCCAGGTAGACTAACAACTGCACCCTGGATGACGGAATAAACCATCGTTTCATTCCTATGACAGTCATAATCTATCGTAATGAGACCCACGAGGCGAGAGGTAAACGTTAAAACTGAGCTTCCTTCAAGTAGTCAGTGAGAAAATATTGCTGTTTTTTGTGTCTTTACTTTGCTCTTATACACTTTTTAGTGTCATATTTAATGTATGTTTTTATATGTTCACTGCTAAAGGAGATACAAACAAATAAACGAGCTGAATTAAAAAAGAAAAAGCAAAAACAACAACACATTGACAGATGATGTGTTACTAAAATGCTTCTCAAAGATCCTTTCACCACTTTTAGCTAAATGTTCATCAACACGGTGCTGCACAGTTTTGCAATAAGCCTTGATTTCAGTTTGCTGTTATTTAACTGTTGCTTTAATCCCACAAACTAAAAAAAAAACCAAAAAAAAAAAACATCAAAAGCCCAGCTGTGTGTCATTTCCGCGAAATGAATGAGATGTTGTTGCACAGTTGAGTGGTGGGCAGCCACAGGAAATACCTGATCGACGCGGTCAGCCTGCACTCCAAACTTCCCTCCGAAGCCCTTGGAGGTGTCGGTCTGGGAGCAGTGCTTGGACAACTTGCTCTGGTAGTCGTGACCCACGGCCGACTGCAAACACACAAACACACAGCAGAGATACTTTAAGAAAACAAACGCATTCGAACTTCAGAATGTAGAACAAGCTCCTGTGTGTTGAGGCTTTAGACAAAAAAGGGCAACAACAACAACAACATTTGAGGAGGGGAGGAACGGTGGAAAGAGCAACAGAGCTGGAAACACAGCCAGCAGTTTGAGGTGGTGACGTCTGACTCATCACAGATGCACAGTGTGGTGTAAACACTGCTCGGGTCATCACATTCATGCTGCAGCGACCACAGTGCCCAGAGCCAGAGAGGTGTGGACGGACAGAGCTGCCTGCCAGGAAGGATTATCAAGTGTGAAACGGCCACAACTGACTCAGCCTGTTCACACACATTGAAACTAGCATTATGGGAAGTGCTGCCAAGGCTCCGAGGACTCAGATGTCAATCTGAAATTTGTAAAATGTTTTGGATGCAACGTGCTGGTTGGTATTTAGTTTCAGCTGCAGGAAGATCAGCAACTGCAGAACTAGTTTTCCCCTCACAGAAAAAATGGCACCAGAAAGACAACAAATAAAACGACACGGTGGATTTTTCTGCCGTGTAGTGCAACTGTGTACAGGACAAACACTTCACTTCCTTCAGAACACTGGACAGACTGATCTGTACTTTGCTCTGATTGCACACATCAGCAACGAGAGCTGAAGTCTAATCAGTGTGGAACCAAAGAGATAAATAAACTCCTAATTAAACTGAGGATGACAAAGTGATTTACTACTGGACGTAAACACCAGATTATGATGAAACACTTGTTCTACAGGTTCAGTCAGGCCAAGAAACTTGAGTCTATTCTAAAATTTGACAGTAAAAGCATAAACTTGTACTAGATGACTAAAGATATTGTCTTAAAATACTACTTGTAGCTTCAGTTTGCCTGATTAGCATGAAGTTAATGTAAGAGGCATTCACCAAAGCATAAAAAAATGCAACCAATTATTTTGAGATTAACTGAAATGTAAGAAAAAAAACTTCCTTTGTCTTCGTATTTCATAAGATGTTTGAAATGTTGATATAAGTCTTAGTTGTAGTTAAGGCTATATTTTTAGACTCTTATGACATTACAGGGATTTAGGAGTAATTATTAGTTGAATAATCGATCGACAGAAAAACAATCTGAAACTAGTTTAATGACTGATGACTATTTTAGTCATTTTTTCAAGCCACAAAACTATAAAAGTCCACACATGATTAGCTGCAGCCCTAAATTGGTGATATGATGTTAATAATTTATTGCCATTCATAATGTGACCAACTGAAAATGCATTTCCTGGTAAGCCAAGGGATGAAGGACGTGTATGTCAGAAAATGTATTGTAGATTGGCTGTAATAACTGCTTGTTCCAGTCTTACACTTTATACTGTTTAACACCGTACGGACCAAAGGAGGTCACTCGGGCTACCAGCAGTTAGCCAGCAGAGACTATTGCGGAAGGTCAGGTAGTAAAGTGCCACCATGAGAAAGACTCCTGTGATGCTTAATGCCAACAGTACGCTAAAGTGGTCACACAGTGAGCTTGTGGCTGATTGCTGAGTCATATCACATGATAAACTTGTTGGAGCAGCTTATATCATGTGACCGCATTCAAAGCAATTACATGATGTCCACTGAGCTCTTGATGTGTCACTGACTAATCAATTATTGATCGCTGAGGCTGCTGCTTATCGGATGAGAAAATTGTTCAAAATTTGCATCCTTGGCTCTCTCAGTCTCTTACTTTGTCCATGCGATCCTGCTGCACTCCAAATTTTCCTCCATATCCCTCTGAGGCCTTGGGCATGGCCTCCAGCTCCTTCTGCTTCAAGCTGGTGTGTTCGGTTGACACCGTCTCACGCAGCCGGTGGATACTACGCCAAAGGAGGACACGGTTAGGGGGACATTCCCATACTGTAGTTAATATAAGTGAAATATATTTTCAGTTCCCTCACTCTATGTGCTCCTGATGTCCTGAGCCGGCCACCGTCTTGGCCCCCCAGCGCTGCTCCTTCTCCGACACATCATTCTGCAAATACACAGAATAAACAGTGATGAGGAGAGTGAAGAATGGAGGATGTTTAGGAGGATTGTGAAGAACTAAAGGAGGAGGAAAAGGATGAAAATACCTCAAAATCAGGGTCAGTTTCCCAGTCATCCCCTCCGTCATCTACAGCCACTTGGATGCTCTGTCCCACGCCTGCCCTCCACATCTTTAGTGAGCCTATGCCACACACTCTGAAAAACAGGTAACGCTTTGTTTTAGACCTGTTATTGTACATACATAGAAAGGAGCAAGGCCTTTCAGGGACCTAGACCAACTTTTTCACTAGTGGCAACGGTGCAACCAACAGTGTCAGTTAGCCGCACCCCTCACCTGGTCACAGGTGCTCATCGATAGACACCACATTTACTGATGTTCCCCGAACGTCTCACATTGCAGGCTGTGGTAGATGCTACTGGGTCACACACTCAAAAAAAAGGTTGCATGTGTGACCATTTTCGTTGCAGTCTAGAGCCCTGCCTCTAATGACAGAGCTGAAAAAATAAAGAAGGACACTGTGAAAACCCGTGAGCTGTCTGTGGACTTGTGTTTAGACAATTTACTGCACTTTTGTGTCCCAATGGTTGGTAAAAATGAGATCTTCTTGTTTATATGTATGGAATTATCTCTCATTAGGCATTGTAAGTCATTTATCCATTAAAACTGAAAACAAAACTAGTTCCAGCATCTCCAATCTCTGCTCTATAAAACTGCAAGCAAAAAATCTTTAGATTTTGTGCTGTTGATCTGAAAAAACATTAGAAAACTTTGACTCAGCTGTACTGTCATGTTGTGCCGTGACACTAAGACTTATTATTACACTAAGACCTGTAATATTTCCTCCTGTACATCATAGCCATACTGGATGTAAAGTGAGCCCATCTAACACAACTCTATAGTAAGAAATGGAACAATTCACTTCCCATTTCTTACAAACATGAAGTGAAGTTAGCATGACGCTACAGCACTCAGAAAAAATGTGGTTATCTTACAACATCATTATTGTTTTTTCAGGACAAATCACTTTTTGCATTATCATTTCATGCTGAGGAACCAAATGATGAATCTGTTAAATCAGCCCTAATATTGTAATTCATCCCCACAAGGTTCCATTGTTGTTGTTTTATTATACTGTGCTGTATTGTACGTACACCTGCACTCCACACCATGTAGCCATGGTCTGGAGCAGATAAATGTGACAGTGTTTAGCTGGCTCTGGACTATCTTCAGTGTGGAACTTTACCCATTATTTGATTAGTCTACTGAGTCCGTTTTTCAGCAAAAATGCACAAACTCTGACTGCTCTGGTTTCTTCAGTTTAATCATTTGTTGTATTTCTGTGTCGTAACATTTCAATACAGTGAAATAGCTGTAGGTTGTAGCCTTCAACTTTAGCTGTGAGAAATCATACCCCACGCCTAATCAAGAAAATGATCCAATTAATTGAGGATGACAGGAATACAGCTTGGGCATCTATCTAGAACAAAAGCTCTCTGTGCCAGTTCCTGCCTCAGCACCATGTGGGCGATCTGCATCTGTCTTCAATCAGAGGCTGCAGGAGACGTGGCTCCATTCATCTCGGGAAGCTCCAGACCAGGAAGAAACAGCAGCCTGAAAACTTGATGTTGGTTACATGACAGGACTGTCTCCCCCAGGACAACCACACCCATCCATGTGATGAATGATCTGAGCAGGCCTGAGAGGGAGAGGGTCCACTCAGGTGTGACTGAGGTCCAAATGTAGTCAAGGCAACAGGGGGCAGCTGGCACGGGTAACCTATTTCAGTACAGCTCGTTTAACCCAGATAATGTCGCTTAGTTTGCGTCAATGAAGCAGGCAAGGCCACAAGTGTCGGGACTAACAGATGGATGTTTTAGCTTGAAAACAGTGAATTATACATCCGTGTCAGCGTGGCGTGTTTTAATTAAGATTTCTAGCATTACCGGACTCTCGAAATAACGGAAACACCTCGTTAATGGTTAATTCCACTAACGCAGATTCAATGTTCAGTGACCAGCAGCGGTAAAACGCATGAATACATGTAAAATACAGGAACAGAGTTGGCAGCGTCAGTCGGTCTCTGGCATTTCCTGTTCCAGTTAGCTAGCCTGCTAGCTGGCTAAAGCTAGCATGCCTTCTGGAATGACTACCTGGCTCAGCTCGAGCCCGGCCATTGGCGGACATTTTAGGCGTTAAATGCTCACCGACAAAGGTAGCTTTGACCCGGCTGAACGCTCAATATCCCTCCTGATGGACGTGGTCCGTTCACAACCGCAGCTTTGATGGAGAAACGGTGCAGGGATCTGCTGGTTCTCCCTCCGCAGCTCTTCCGGCTCTCCCAGTATCCCGAGCCCGTCCAGCTGCGACGTCACAGGTGGGCGGAGCGAAGATAATATATCGGTCGTTTTAATAGAAAATATGAAATATTGGATTTATACTCTTAAAAGTTTTTTTTTTATATGTTTGATTTGTCAATTAAACGATATATATATATTATTTGATTAATGCCTTTGTTTTGTTTTGTTTTTTTAATGGATATATAAAATATATGAATGTATTTTCTTTATTTTATGTTCATTTGATTTTAAATTTACATCAGTTTGATTCACACATTTATATTTATCATATTAATTTGACACATACATTTAATTAATCATTTTTACATAAATTTGATTTATACATTGAATTTTTAGATGAGCATGATTTGTATGTTTAATTAATAGTTTTTATAAATTTATTAAGAAACGTAATTTTTATATCAATTTAATTTGCAAATACATCTTATGTTTATATCAATTTGACTTATAGTTTGGATTTATCTTCTGTTGATTTATACATTTTATTTATAATTTTACATCAGTTTGATTGCATTTTATTGTAATCAAGCTATACATTTTATTTACATTTTATATCGGTTTATTAAATAACAATAATAATAATAATAATAATAATAATAATAATAATAGATTAACGTCTCTATAATAATTTGATTTGTACATATGCAATTTAAAAACATATATAGTTCAACATATAAATCAACCAGCCACAAGACTACAAAATGACTCAAGATGACAACATTGAGGCACAATATGAGCATGAAGTGGCTGCACAGAGATGCAAAATGACAACAAACATACACAAAGCAACTACAAAACCAGACTGACCACAAAAAGGCATGAAGACTTTTTTTTGTCCCTTTCACAACTAAACTTTCTGTACATAAAAATGTTTCTCGATGCACCATGGACATTTTGTAGCCACTTTTTTGACCATGTTTAAATTACATTTTACTAGTTGCCCATCTTCTAAACTCTGACAGCACCCTTTTGATTTATACAGACTAAAATGTCAAATTCCCTGAACTCTAAGGGAACTAGCTGTTGTACTGGTCGCTATTCTACAGGTGCTAGTTGGACTGTTTAGGGATAACACTTTGCTCATTTGACAGAGCCACAGAAATACTCAGATCATGAGGAAAACAAACATTTTTGTATCCAAATGATGCTGTCACTTCTTTACTATTCAACAAATACAGTAAGAGACCATTTTAGCTCCAAAACTGTAGAACATGGTTTCAGTTTCAGCTTTTAAACACCCACCTGTACAGATTAGCATGTGATTACTTTGTGTTGTCTAGTATTTTGGCACCGTTTTTAAAGTGATTTGTCTTTATTGCTTTTTTTCTCCCCCCTCTTGTTTTGTATAGCACCTTGTAGCTTTTTGAAGCATACTACAGCAGTAAAGTTTAATATTATTTCTGCACTGTTCCACAAAAAAGATCTCTGTAGCTTAATAAAAGACTTGATAATGGATACCCAGAGACAGCTGTTATACTTGTTGTTATATTAAAAGTTTATTTCCTCTTACATGTATAGCCTTAGCGCCCACTCATCCTTGCAACACTGCTCTAAATGAGTAACTAACTTCTCATTCAAACATCACAACAGCAGGAGAGGAAAACACAAAACTTCAGTCCTTTTTTTTATCTGCAGTGGAAAATAAGTTTCAGTATTTTATTGAAAGTAAGCAATAAATAATACTGTGATAAAAATAGTTTATAAGTACTCAGACTGTACATCATTGTTACAAGATCAGAAGATTCGACAGAGGAAGAGCAGGAATAAAACAACAGCAACATGATTTGCATTGTGCATAAAATGACTAAATCACAAACAAACGAGAAAGATCTACTTTAAGCTTCGACTACATGTACGGTGAAATGAAAACTCTTCGGTTCCTTCTCATCAAAAAAGGTGGAACCTGTGTTGTGAGTGTAGACAAGACAAACTCGAGAAGCATTCCGAGGAACAAAAAGTGGGGCTTTAGCTCTGAACTGACGACACACAAAACGTGGATGAATAAATAAGAAGCGACGACAGAGAGGAGTTAAGAAACGATAAGGCTTGATATGAAATCTCCGTACAAAGTGTTTAAAAAAAAAAAAAAAAAAAAAGGGGGTCTGCGGGTGGATCGCGCTGCCTCGAGGGTTATCTAGTCACAGCGGGGATCAGCTGAGGCCTCGGTGAAGTTGGTCCATCGAAGGAGTTTCGACACTTTCGAGTTCATCTGACGTCCTCGTCGGTGCGTTTCTCCAGAGGTGAGGAAGTTTTCTTAAAGGGCTGAACTGGGTGTAGATTGGGTGGGGATAAGTGGAGTAAAGTCCGCATGCAAGGTCAACTAGAGAGAAACTGGAAGTCTGTTTTCACTTGCATTCGAAAGTAGCCCTCCGTTTAGTTTGTTTCGCTACTGATATATATATGGCTTTAATTCTTAAAATTCAAGAGTTTCATTTTGGTTTCGCAGATATGGAAAAGAAAGAAAAGAGTTTCACGTGATATCTGTCGCCACCATCGCCCGGCTTGCCAGCAGTTATTTTAACGGCGATGGATGACTCACAGTGTCGAGCAGTTTGTGAAACAGTCTCCAGCAATTCGTCTGATATTCACACATCCGTTGACCTAAGAGCTGCATTTACACAAAAATCACAGGTAATAAGCTACAAAAAAAAAAAATTACAACAGTTAAAAAGGGCAGAGGATATGAATTAAGTTATATCACATATCAAAGTCACTTAAGCATAAATTCAATGATTAGAATTCAAATCAAAGCGAGGAAAGAAAAAAAAAAAAAACATACATCTGGTCAATAGAATCAGGATTATAAAAAAGATTAGATAAAATGTCTGTTGGTAGAAATATACAAACTCCAGACAGCTGAAACATTCAGTTACATACATCTGAGAGCTGAGCTTAATGCGGGCACAGTGGAGAAGTGTTTTAAAAAGTGGGTTGATTAAAGGGGACAGAGGCAAAAAAGGGTTACATAGTAATTCTAAAATCATTTAAATGTCCCATTGGTTTACATAAATATAATAACAAATGTAGATAAATCTAGAAAGTTTCCTCTAGGGATACTGAGATTGGTGAGTAAAGTCTTTCTCTGTGATGACAAAAAAAAAAAAAAAACTTTTTTTTTTTAGTGTCCTTGCAAGTCATTTCAGTTCATCATCCTGGTCTTGAATGCGGGGAATTCCCCTTCATCTTCTGACCAGCGGTTACCTATAGAAATAATGAGGATAAACTGAGAAGGGGGAGAGAGAGATCAATGGATACGAGAAGGGAAGCAGGACAGAAGCCAGGATGGAGGGATGGATGGATGGATGGATGGATGAAGGGGAGGAACAAAAGGAAAGAGAGGAGAGGCGTAAAACGTGCGTTATTAAAGCACAATAGAACAAGAAAGCTGCTTTCTGCTTGGAGAGAGAGGAGCAGATGTGCAGTGAGTAAACAGCCAAACATTTGTCTTGTTGAGGGCTGTAGTGTCCAGGTGGATGGCTTGGTCAATGTGCTCTCATCAAATCAAACTCTTAGTGTTTGGACGGTCGCCGGTGTTACTTTCATAAAGGAAGCCGTCTAAGACTAATACATTACTTTTGGTAGAAGAAACGATCTGTAAACACTCACACTTCCACAACCACATGGAGACAAAAAACTGCAATGATCATCACCTAGTTGTCAACTGTAAAACTAATCTATAAGTTATGGCATCAGTTACATCGGTTTGAGTACATTTTTTAAAATAAAAAAAAGCCAAAATCCGACCAACCTTGGGGTCGGGAAAAAAGAACTGCCAACCTGGCCCTTTTTAAATGTTTGACATTATTCACAATTTCCTGACATGTTACAGAGCAAACAACTAACGGATCAAACAAGAAAATAAATATTGACAGAATGTTTGCAAATGAAACTAATCATGAGCTGCAGCCCTAATGGAGACTGCCAGAGCTAATTTAACACAACATGTGTCTTACAAATATGATTAGAATCATCCTTCATGTCATATCTGTACATATGAAAAGTGTTCACAGTGTATAGAACTAATTTTATTGTTATCTTTATCCAGTTTAGTATTTTTTGCCTTGATTATTAACATGCTTTATTTTTATCTAGGTGCTTTTAAGTGTGAATTTACCCAGTGAGGGATCAATGAAGTTTTATCTTAGAGCTTATCTTAAGGCCACGGCTACACTTTCAGTTTTAGCATTTCAGAGTATGCAACAACCTCTGGCAGCCCATAATTCAACTACATTACCATGACATACTGATCCTGTTTTTATCGCGGTAATGCTCCATGTGCATACTTAAACCAAGCAATAGGGCAATAATTCATCCAAATATTATTCAAACTGCAATAAGGTCGGTGCGATATCCAAATTACAGGAGCTGCAGTTGTTGCGCAACCCACAAGTTACATTCTCCAGACGTATGGGAAGGTACCAGTTTGACCAAAACTGTAGCAAAAATCACAACTACAGAAAACTAATTGCAATATGATTTGTTTTCTATATTGTTCAACCACTTGAGGCGTTGCCTTATTCATTGTTTACTCAGAGTTGAGTCACAACTAATTGACATCATGTCAAAGACGTCGCCTGTGTGGCTGCATTTTGTTCAAACAACAGTTGTTGTACTGGACTCACTGGTTCATATAGCTCCAATTTTTTGAAATTTTATGAACACTGGAAGGTGCACACTGGTCTGTTCTGAGCTTGTAATTATTTCAGTATAAAATAATCAGGTTTAAATAACTCTATATGGTGCAATTAATAGCTTTTCGTGTTGTTTTAGAATTCATTAAGGCTAATAAGGCTAGCAGGTATATTGACTCAGTGCGCTGTGGAAAATAAGTAGATAACTAGCTGTTTATTCTCCTCACAACCAATTAATTGGTTAAAAAATACAATTCAACGAGCTGACCAGTTTCTCTGGTTTACTACAGCCCCAGTCTTATTTGATTCTTACATCGTAGTTGATGTGTGTGTTCTTACCGTTGTGTGTTAACAAGAGTAGGTCCTGACTGTGGCAGTGTCCAGCCTCTGTATAGACTGACTTCCTGCGTTTCCATGTTGGCAAAATCACATGCAGAAACATGCCATTAGTCACAGCATCGTAAACAGAGCAGCAAAGCCATTCAAGAAGAATTAAGGGCACATGAGGAGTCAGGGCTGAATGGCCCATCAGAGAAGTTCTACTGCAGTAATTAGCAGCATTGACAGAGCACATTACACACAAACATGCATATATTTAGTGGTTCCTCTGCCTACCGTCCATCGGGCTCCTCTTTGGCTGCGTGGAGGGAGATGCTGTGCCGCTACTGGTCACTCTGAAGTTGGCCGGGAGGGTATCTGACGCACCCAGGGACATCCCCCTCATGTCTTTGGGCCTGAACTTCTTCCTCCATGAGGGAGCACGGCGGAAGTTCTTATCATCATCCTGGCAGGGTGAAGACATTGAGAGAGGAAGTTGATTTCACACATATTTTCTCACTCAGTTTGTGTCACTGTGTTGGCAAGAGTCTGTGTTTGTCACCTCTTCCATTCTCCTGTCTGTGCCAATGGCCAGCAGACTGTTGTATTCACGCTCCAGAGTCGCTCTGGCCTGGAAAGAACAGAGAAAAAGAGTGAAATAAACAGAGCATCCCAAGGATCAACACTGAACCCTGGCTACATTATCCTGTCTACTGAGGCTGGAATCATATGGTCGTCCTGAGCCTCTGAGCAGCTGATCTGGTTTAACTGGAACTGATTTTTAGTCTCTAGTAAATAGCTTGGTCCTCCCTCTAAAAACTGCATGAATACTTATATCCTGCATATTTAAGTCTTTCCTCATGCACCTACAATTCTAGTAATCTTGAAGGCTTCTCCTTGATCAGTGGGGACAAAAGCATCTTCAAAATGAACATGTTAATGTATTTCAATTTCCTTGTTGAAGCAAGTGTGTTGGACTTTTATATAGAAATAGTTGTGTTACATTTAAGCCAAATGAGCCTATCATTTCCAGGTAAATCTCTGCATTTCACAGTGTACCAGAGTGCTAAATCTGGATTCTGTGGTGACCTGATGCACCAGTAGTGCAGCAATCACTGGTTTGGCACAACTGAAGATGAAACAGGTTACAACTGAGAGTGTTATATGGCCAATAAAGGGAAACAACTGGAAGCAGTGCTTGTGTAATTACTCTTAGTGCCAAAAGGGGGAGACAAAAGAGTTGAACTGCAGGTTTAGCAGCTGATGTGTGCATTCAGGGTTTTTCCTGGCAAAGAACAGGTCTTTGGAGGGTGACTATGCAGAACAGGAAGCACCATCAGTCTGCGTGCACCAATGAGTTAGTGTTGCGTTATTTGACGGAAGTCTATGTGCTTTCCTGTTATTTCTATCCATTTGATGAACATTACTGTCTATCTTGCTCGAGTAAATGAAACCCTAATGAACTGGTCCATTTCTTTTTGATGGCTTCTCCTTGATGTACAGTGGTCCCTCATTTGTATGTAAGTGGGGACAAAAGCATCTTCAAAATGAATACGTTAACGTCAAATTCTATACTCTTACCATTTCGATGCTGCCTACCACACAATTCCTCTCTGCAGGAAAATACCATGACCTTGTCTAAAATAGCTTTAACAACCAGATACAGCAGCATTTTCTTTCCCCATGCCCTCACCCTCATAAATAACTGAGTCAATATTCATACATCATGATCTCATTCCCGTAAGTGATGCACATATTGAACTTAATGTATAGTCTTACATGCTCGTCTTATATAATCCCTACATTGCTTGCATATCGTCTGTACTGCTTGAGAGTCAACAGCAGCTGGAACCAAATTCCTTCTGGGTGGTAACAAACTGGGGCAATAAAGCTGATTCTGACTCATTCCAGGTAAACAGGGTCTTGCTCCAAACTATATTTCTGAACTCCACACCCTTTATGAGCTGGATCACAGCCCAAGGTCCTCTGGTGAGGGTCTCTATTTCTAGGCTGTTCCTAGATTGACGTTAGTAGCTAAAGGCAGACAGAGGTTTCACTTTCAAGGCCCCCTGACTTTGGAGAGTCTTGCCAGAGGAATTCAGGATCAAGACTCCTGTGTCAACCATCATGTCCCCTCTCCAAACACACTAGTACAGACAGGCATTCAATGTTCTTTAACCTCTGTCGCTACTTTTAGGATTTCAGTGATTTTCATCCAATGTTCATATATTTCTGTCCTTTTTTATTTATTTTGATCTTTCATCCTTCCACTGAACCTTCTTTTTTTTTTTTAGGTCTAAATACTGATAAATCATGCTAGTTTTACCATCATCTACCTCACTTTCCACTCTGCTGGAATACAACCTGATGAAATTAGCACAGGAAGAGGACCGTGGCCTCGTCGGCAGGCAGAGTGTTGTGTAACATTTTATACGCACCACGGAACCGTTAACCAGCGTAGCACATTAATAAAACATTAATAATTAGGTTAACCGACTAGTATTTCAAGATGCCAACTAGCGACAGCAGCAACGTCTAATCAATTAGTGGACTCATGAAGCACATCACCTGAATGCATATCCTCTTTCGCCCTAACAATCAACATTGCTTTAATACATTACATAGCTATGGAAATAATTATTAAACCACCCGTTTGTTTTTTCTACAAACCCTCCACAACAAGCCTTCAACATCAATTAATTTTTTGTTGTAGCTTCATCTTAGTAGTTAAATATTCACAATATCTTCTGACAGACAAACAAAGTCTAATGAAACATAAATGATTCAAAATTCACTCTAAATGGCTGAAAATGCCATTGTTTTGTGCATAAGCGGTAAATGTGAAGATAGCCAAAAGAACAGAATTGAGAGACGACAGCAACATAGTCATCCTGGTGCTTTATGAAGAGTTTTACAGTGTCTATACCAAGAACTGCAAAAGAAGAGGCAGAAAACAGCAGTCACAGTGATTTAATAGTTATTTTTGAAGCTGCATGTAATCTAAAGCAGGAGGACCAGTAAAAGTGACTTTTTACAACTTTAATTACAGATATGGAAGCTGTTTGTGGATTCATATGTTGTCACTTTTATGAACCCAATCTGTGTGACACATTTGGAAACGATCATATGGTTGAACCTGGCATGATGATTAAAACCAGCTAACAGTGTTGAACATTTGATGTTTGTCTGTGTACCTGTGTGTTCTGTGTGGGGATCTGCAGCAGCAGGGCCAGCGTGTTGTGATCGAAGGTTTCGTCCAGGGCGAGCAGCGCTCCGTGAACTCCGCTCTCATAAAGATTACCACTGTACTCTTTGAGTCCGATGGCCTGAATCCAACTGATCACACGCTCATTACTCCAAACCAGCACATCTGAAACAACAAAACGATGAAAGAAATTCAGGAGGAATGCAATTTTGAAAGAAATAAAATTAAAATGAAGTAAAAATGATTAGTGTTGAGAAGCCAGCAGGGTGTTTGCTACCTTTGAGCTCCAGCTGACAGTCCTCTCTCTTCCTCTCCAGCTCCTTCCTGTCGTAGTTGAGCCTCCTCAGGCACATCACACCACACTGAAAACTGTTCCTGTTGCAAAGACAGACAGCTTAGTGTTTGTTTGAATCCCTATTAGCTGCTACTTTGGTTTTAAATGCTCCTTTTACTCTAATATTCAGCTTATCTTCCCATTGTATATCCCATCAAACTTTGGATATACAGAAATACTGAGAAGATATAATGACACTTGAATCATCCCTGTTTTACCTGTGGAAGCTGTCCACCATTTTGAGCTGTCCTCTAAGGTCCTTCTTGGTGAGGTGGTCGAGCATGCGGGCGTCCACCAGGGACTCCATGAAGTAGGAGCGGTACTGAGGCAAACCCAGGCTGGGCAGCCACTCGTTACCGATCCACTCGTGGTTCATGTCTCCATACGCCAACGTCTGTGGTCAGAGAAGAGAAGGTTTAACCAGGGTTTGTGTGAGGGAACTGCCAAGATGGAAAGTGTTATTAATAAGATTACTCACTAGATTAGAAACTAATTACTACTCCAGGATATGGATGTGTTTTATAACTGCACTTATCTTAAACTAGATACTGACTGTAAGGCAGATCACAAGAGGCCAGTGACATGTTTTGAGCATCGTCCAATTGATCAATTTAGATTTTATTTTTAGATTTTGTTGTTTTTTTTTTCACCTCCATAACTTTGCATACTTTGCAATAAATAAAGTATATTTACACATGGACCTTTGTGTACAATCGTCCTCGTAATAGCAAAAAAAAAGTGTGCGTAATTCTGTCTTTCAAACATAGTTAAAATGGCTTTTTGACATGATTCTGCTCCACTTGGATCTTAAATATCGTCCAAGTGGAGCCACTATGTTAAATTTATGTACCAGCTTTTCTATAAATTAGAGTTTAAACTTGTCTGTCCTTTAATGTATTTTATTCGTTATCTTTTAATATTTTATTTTAACTGTACCATTAATTTGCGTCTTTATGTTTTTACGCAGTTTTGCTTGTTTTTTAACCATTTTAACACAGTATTTAAAGCACTTTGAACTTTATTCATATTTAATCAGCTGTAATGTTCAGACGTTTTACGGTATCGATAACATCTTTTAAAACTATACTTTGATTGCTGTCTGTGGTGTTTACACAGGAAACTCAACTTGCTCCACAGTAACTACAAACGGGTTTCCCTCTGAAACCTCAACTCTGCGCTTCATTTAGAAACACTACAGGAAAGTGCTAAGTTGCTTCGAAGATGAACAAGGAATGAAGGTGTGAACAGTTCACTGAAGCACATCAACTGGAAGGCAAAGAAAGCTAAATTATCATTAACATATTTGAACCATATTTCCATATTCTGCGGCATTTTTGTCAGCAATTTCGTAAAAATATTTGAAGAATTACAACTTCCTTCCTTGTTTTTAATGTTATCTCTGGCAACCTTTATCGATGGTTCAGTGGAGGATCTTAAGCCTCAAGCAAAACACTTCTTTTACAGTTTTTTTTCCATGACTTGTTCTTTTATGCAATTGTGGTATTGTTTGCATTAACATTATTATGAGCACAAAACTTAATGTGCTGAGGCTGTTTCCTGCAGTTAATTTTGGGTCATATTCTAACTACTAACAAACACAACCACAGCAGTACATACCATTTAGTGACAATCCAAGCAGAAATGTTTCTGCTGCATAAGTATACCAAACTAAAGGGGTCAAACTGCACAATGAACCACTCTGAACATGCGTGTTATGAAGGCATTCTCAGTGACGTAGAAATAAATACCGAGCGAAATCTATGACACCTCCCTAAACGTACATTTAAAAAGAATCAACCCTGAGTATTAGGAATAGCAGAATTTTAAAAAGTGAGCGGCAAGTGGGTTTTTTGGGGGGAACGTGTGCAAACCTGGGCCCAGCTACCCTCGTCATCCTCCTGGTGTTAGCATGGTTAGAGTGAGCATGGTGAGAAGAACAGAAAGGCGAGGGGTTAGTGAGGCAGCAGTGCTGGGTTAGAGTAGCTTCAAGTGGAAAACAAAGTCAAAAAAAATTATAAGACAAGCAAGTCAAAAATATAAGAAAATTAACCAACCAGATAAACTAATGGTGAGGCATCATACAGGAAACAAAAATGGCAACAGACAAAAAAACAACCGATACACAACAGAGGAGAGGGCGATATGGAAAAAAAACACTACTTTGGTATTGTCTCATGTCATTTTGTGAATTCTAAATCAATCTGTTATTTGATACACTAAATTTTCAATTGACAAATCAGACAGGGGTGACTGTTTCATTACAGGATAAATGAAGGTATTTCAATGGTGGTGTGATCAGTGAACTCCTCCACACTGAACCCCAAGTTGTTCCCAAAGCAGGTGGCTGCCATTGGTGTGTGAGTGTGAATGAATAGTTGAATAAGAAACACATTGTGAAGTGCTTTGTAGGCCCTAACTATGGCCAAAAAAACCCCAATATGTCTGGACCACTTAGCAGGAGCAGTGTACTGCTGCACAAGGAGACTACTTAGACGAGGGCAGCAGCCAAACTCAGGTCATTAAACTGGTTTTTGCTTTTTATATTCACAGTCTCAGAACTTTGTCAGCAGTTTTCCACTGCAGGAACTCAGGCTTGGCATGAACGTTTGCAGGAAAGGTGTACTAATAGGGTGATTCATCCTATCCGTTACCATTGCGGTGTAGGATTGACACCTTTAGATGTGCTGTTTACTCAAGAGTGCGTCACAACAACAACAAATATTAGTTTCTGGACATAACTCCAGTTCTAGGAGCACGTAGGAAACTGAAAATGTCCTATTTAAAGAGGACATCCAGAGGGCAGAAAAATGGCACTTACACCTGCACTAGAGTTTTTGTGTGTCCCCCCCTCCAAAAAAAAAAAAAAAGGCCAGAAAGAGGTTCCACAGAGCCAGTGCTTGCAGTTGGAACATGCTCAAAAGTTTGGGCTGTCTGAAAACAACCAACAAGTTCCTGCAGGGAAAAAACAGCCTTTTCATTGCATCTTATACAATCACAGACATTATTAAGGAAGAAACTAGGTCAGTACAAATGGCAGCAAAAATCTCTGACAGCAGACAAATGCATATAGCCTTACCATATATAAATTTCACTCTTTCAGAAATGTCTTTATTAAAAAAATAATAAAATAAAATGTTAAAGGAGCCAGTGGGAGGGAGTCCTTCATTCTTATTCTCTCTTGTTCACAACAAGGTGTCTCTGCTTTCAAAAACCTTTAGAACCTGCAGTCACCTGAGCAGCAGGTGCTTGTGTAATCTGCTATTAAGCACAAACACACATACACACAAAACTCTAGCTAACGTAAGAGTAGAAACACAAACACACCGAAAATGTAAGATCTAAAGACAAAGATGAGGAAACTACTAATACCACCAAGGAAGAACAAAAAGTCACTAACTAGCAGGAAGAATTAGGTCTTGTTTCAAGCTGCCTTGTGAGTCTCCAATGAATACTGGACTGATCAAATATCAATATATGCATGCAATAAGCAAGGTCTGGCTGTCCTGGAGGCAACTTGAAACGAGACTCAACAGTCACCACAGATGTAAGAAGCCAATGGTGCCAAGCCAATCCGGGTAGACTAACCGTGGGAGGTGTGGCTGCCAAACTTTCCATCTCTTCATGCGTGACCCAAACGTTTCCTGTGGTCTGATCATGTGACACCCCCCCAATCACAAGTGTGCAAAAAAGGAAAGAGTGACGAAGGACAGAAAGAGAGCAGGATGGAGAGAAGGTCATGAAGCATTTGTTCATTCATTGTTAGCCAAAGAACCAGAACTGATCAATCATTAGTACATGTTAAGCAGTTAATGCATTAAAAGTCTCATGCTCAATCAGATGACAAGAATGTGTTGACAGAGTGCTGAAAGGAAAACAATTCCTAATATTATCTGTGTGAGTGCACCCTGAATGTGTGTTTTCATATGAACCAGACAGATGAGTACCGTTCTGGAGGTTGGCGGGGCAGAAGGGCTGGTGAGAGACATGATTTCCTGGATGGCCAGACGAAGCTTCAGACGATGTAAGGGGTTACTGATTCCGATCTCCCTTTGGATCTCTGTGTCTGACAGCGCCGACATGATAGCTCCGCTCTTCACGTTGGCACGACATGCAGCCACATACCAGGCTGGCATGCCCACCCACAGCTGACCAGAAGGGGGCAGAGAAGAGACGGTGGCATCAGTTTAAACACGATAAATGTCACAGAGATGTTACTGGTCTGACTGGTTTTTAGATGAATATTGTCAGTGTCATACCTCCAGCCAAACCACAACAGTTGGTCCGTCCCACTGGGCGAATGGCAGGCCCTGCCTGCGAGCCTCTTCCAGTAATTCATGCCTGAGACACAAAATATAAATTAGAGCCAATTCACTTGCTCAAGAACATAAATACATGTTGTACATAGCCACAAAGCCAATGTAGAACCCATCACAAACTCCAAAGTTCACCTTCTGAACACACATGAGCACAAACCCCAGAACATCAACTGACATGCACACTCAAAACAGAGAGCAGGAGTTTGAGAGAAAACGCAGAAACTGAAACCCAGGAAGAGTCAAACATCTGGACAAGCTTAGACAGAATTTCATTTAAATGTATTTAAGGATTCAGGTTTACTTCAACCTGCTGTATATTCCATTAATGTGGCTACTGTGTGTCTCTGTGGGTCATGTTAACTTTGTACTCTGCACCTTTGTTGTAGACATTTCAGTAAACGAGTAGTTGCACAAAACAAATTGTGCACTTAGTTTAGTACTTTTATAAGAAGAGATTTTCTAATTTCTGTGTTTCTTTAAACAGTGAACTCTACAGGCCAGATCCCTGAATCTCTAAAATGCAAAGTTAGCATTTTACTTAGAGCCTCTACAATGGGAAATACAGCAGTTTGAAATAAACCAGAAAACTCCTTTAAAAAAAATCCTAGCCTGGAGAAAGATAGAAAGCGTTTGTCCTCAGCCTTTTTCCAGCCTTGACTGCCCAGGTTTAACCAGATCATTTGTTAAGCCTTTAGGAGATAGCAGCCACAGTTTCAGGTCTGAGGAACTTTATTAGCCAGTTAAGTTTTCTCCCAGAACCAGTGCTTTGAGAGTTAGAAAATGACCTTAGTACGGATGCATTCTTCTACATCTGTACATGCACAGAGGGAAGTATGTAGGACAGAAAACCTTTGCAATGGCTGTATAAATACTGAACATTCACGTCATGCACATTCTCCGTTTGTAATGAAGGAACAGTGCCATTAGTACCAAGTCTTAACTGAGGTCATACAAGTATGAAAATGGCTGGATTTGGCCACTAGATGGGGCCATGTGTCACAAGCACCAACCATCTGTTTGGCAGGTATGTCCAAAATCATGTTCTTAACAGACAATTTAGTTTCAAATAAATTCTGAGCAACAAAATGATTGTGCTAAAGTGTAATATATGATCTTTTTCAAACTTATGGACACAAACACTCACAAAAAGCCAACTATCTGCATGAATTCTGCCATCTTTCCTATAGTTGTAGTGCATAATGTCATGCTCCGATAGGAAAGCTGCGAGAGGAAAATTTTTCACTCACTAAAAATCAGCACACACACATTCCTGTTAGTTAAGCTCCTCTGTGGAAAGCAGGGTAAAGAGCAGCACGGAAAAGCCATCAGACATTCGGAGGGACAGTTGTTTGGGGTCCTTAGAGTTATGGGTGAGGTCAAAGTGAAGCCAAGTGTGGGGGGGGAAAAAAGATAAGGTAAGGCAAAAGCAACAACTTACCCGGTCTTTGGACTACACATGGAATGAGAAGGGGATGATAAAAAAAAAAAAGAAAAGGGAGGTTGGCAAAAAAAAAATATATAAAGAGAAAGAATGAATTGGTGCTAATTCAGGATGGAAGCAAAACAACATTTGTGGCGTTTGCAAAATGTTCACACAAAACTAAGCATGAGGGGGGAAAAAACATAAAATTATTGTAGGAGATGACTGCAATGGAAATACTGGGTGTGGAGTGGAAGGGAGATGAGCTGCTGAGCGTGAGCCAGGTGGCGAGGAGTGAGCATGTGAGCCTGCAGCAGGGGCACCAGAGCCCACAATAAAACTCATGGACTTTTACATTATTAACACTGTATTCCAGTATAAGCATCCTGTAAGTAGGGTGTTATATCATCTGTATTATTTTTCAGCTTTCTTCTCAGTCTACATCAATTCTGGAGACAGCAGAGAGATGAAGGGACTGCTGGGAAGACACCTACTTCTTCTGCAGCTTCCTGTTCTTCTCAGCAGGGCCCCCGAGGGTGCCCATTCCTAAACCGTCCTTCGGAGAGCTCTCTGCCTCAGGAGTGCCAGCTAGGAACATAAACACCTTGTTCAGAAACAGCAATGTCGGCAGCATGGTAGTGCATAACATTTACATAACCATGGTGGTGCAGTGGAATAAAAACGAAGCGTCTCCAGCCTTGTCTGACCTTGGCTGGGGGAATCCTTGCCGGGAATGCTGGGTCGGCCCTTCTCCTTCTTCCCAAATAGGCGTCCAATGGAAGACTTGATACTCTTCTTCTTGGCTGCTTTGTTGAGAGAGTCCTGGCTGCTGTTGCTACTGCTCGGGTTACTACCCTGGCCATCCTGCAGGCTTGCCAGACTACAAGACCAAAGGGTAAGTGATTAGATGGAGGGAGATTACAGAGACAAATGGCAGAAAACAGGACACACCAAAAAGGCAGGGCTCCAGAGTACCACCATTTTGGTTGCACATGCAACTAAAAATCTGTCAGGTCACTGGTCACAATGGTAAAACTGATATTCAGCAGGTCTGCTTGTGTCACTCAAAGTGTGGCTTGGACGAGAGCTCTTGCTGTCAGAGCATCAACTTTCCAAATTTTAAAAAGCACAATCTCTCCAAGAAACTCGTCCTGTGCTGGACGGGTAAAAGCCTGCCATTGGCTACACATGTCATGTGCTTTCTCCTTCTCCTCTACTGTCTACATATTTCTGTTTTCAAAATTCCCTTTACTACAGGAAACAAGCACCACCACCTCCAAGCTTGCAACCTACACACCTAAAATTATGAGGGTTGCCGAGGATCTGGATCGTGAAATGTGTTTTTTTTTCTATGAATTACTATGCATTAGTGCAAGCCTGTGTGTATACATATATTCCACTAAAACAATTTCTATGTCACTATTTTGCAGGAACACCATTGCTCCATCCTTCACTTAGCTCTGCTACTAACTAACTAACTCTAAGTCGCAGAATGTTCCTATGAACAAGAACGAAACATTTATGACTATCCTTACTTCTGTTTACAATCATTAACTAAACGCATACAATTTTTTTTTACATGTGTTTGGGAGCTAACAAAATCTAAAGTGAACATTTTTGGTACACCTAAATGAACCAATATAAAAGGTTAGTCTGAAGCCCTGCACAGTGGTGAGGAAAAAATTTGCCAATTTCTTCTGGTGACAATCAGAGGTCTCACCCTCGAATGTCTCGAATGTCCTCGTGACTGGCAGCGTGTCCTGCCTCCCTGTTCAGGCGCATGGAGCGTGGAGTGGTGGGGGGTGACGTCTCACAGCGGATAGTGGCCTTGTCATCCTGAGCAGACTGCATGACAGTGGAAGAAATGCATTAATGAAGCGTAAAGAACACACCATCTATTCTGCACACAGCGCTGCCAAGTAGAACGCTTGTACATCCATGTTAAACTAGATCCAGTACATTTTACACCAGCTGCAACTACACTCCATGTGTACTGTGCCCAGCCCGTTCATTCTATATATCAGTGCCAGGTAATCTGCTGTGAAAAAATACAAATGAATAAATAAGGGCACGTGTCCATATAGTGTTTGTCTCTGGCACAAAAGTGCTGGCAGGGTGATGGAGGGTGCTCGATGAAAAAAGTAGACCCACGTTGTGGACTTTTGTTACTTTGACTACAATCTGTTGACAACATGTCACTACTTTAACTGTAATGTATGATTGATGTGATTCGTTGAGTGAAAAAGATTAACGGTGACAACACTAGCACCTTTCTCAACTAGATTTGACTAGAAGTGCTCGAAGCAGTCACATAAAAAAACCACAGCGCTCTGAGAAAAGTCAGAAAAAAACTCAGTGGGCATTCAACCTTTGTTATTTAGCAGAATTATAAATTGCAGTGGTGCTATTGTTTTCACACTGACAAAAAAAGACACAATTTCTGGAACTGAAAATGTAAAATGATGAACATTATAAAAAAAACAACAACAAAAGTAGCAATGAGGTTTCTATTGTGGAGGGAAAAATGAAGAACCAAAAAAATGTTGAAAAAAGTAAATACATTTAAACAGGTAATGTGTTGAAGCATTAGGGGTTGACTGATTATCAGTCTGATATTCCACATGTTTCTGATGATCCTGATTGTTTGTATTTAACTGATTGCCGCTTATTTAAACAATGTAAAAAAGTGCTACTTTGGCTCTGACGCAGTTCCCTCTCTGTGTCTGTAGTCTTCACTCTCAAGCAATGTCCCGGCCACTGCGCTATCTAATTGGGTTTATATTACGTGCAAGTGCCTCTCAACAATGAAAGATAAATGTTGGAAAGTTTCCTTTACTTAAACATGGAAAACATAAATAAACCAAGGCATTTAAATGAAACTTTGTGTTGGAGTCAAAATTATTAAATAAATATCAGGAGTATCAGTCGACCGCTATTCTGAAGTGTTATAATACTTTTAAAAGCTTAGCTTACAGGTGTGCTATAAATGAATTGTACTAATAAAAGATTGCACTGCAGAAAAACGATGACTAAATAGATTTTTGGACTCTCTTCAAACAACAAGGAACAAAGCACGGCAGCATGTTGACAGGACGGGAGCCTCCAGCACCGCAGCAGAGCCTTTGACCTGGAAACTTTTTTTTTTTTTTTAACAAGTTCAATATGACAAGCACACGATCATCTCTCTGGTATTAAAAATAAAAAATAAAACCCCACAAAGACACCACAAAACATTTACAGGGATGCATTGTTACACTGGACGGTGAACTGAAGGATGGAATGGACAAACTAATAATGAACGTTATGGATGAAACTTGGGGTCTGGAGATGAGGACATTAGACAGGCAGCTCACAGAGCCCAGTAAAGCAGGTTGCTAGTTTACCTTCCTGCGGTGCTTGCGCAGGTCACTAGGCTGAAGCGTGGCAAAAAAGGAGAGAGGAGAAAAGCAGTTAGTGAGACGCACAACAGATCAGCGGTGGAAACAAGCCATGCACAAACACACAAGAGCAGGAAATCCGATACATAGTACGTTTACCCATGTATACACTCACACACGTCAGCGGAGAGCCAGAGAAACAGTTGTTTTAAATTGTGCAATTAAGAAGGGAAATAAAGTCCGACAGAGTATCACCACACTCGATTAGGAGACACTGCAAAACAGCCACGCTGGAGGTTGGGTCAGGACAAGGTAGGATGGGTGCAGTCCAGCTCACTACAGCTATTTCACTAGAAAACATTGATTACATCTATTTGAAATAAATGACTAAGTAAGAAGCCAGAGTATTTGATGAACAGGTGAGAACACTCCTTTGAAGTTAGTAAAGTGGTTTTGCTTTCTGTGTTATCATACAGTGTGCCACCTGAATTCATGAACCACAGCTGTTCTACTCATATTTTCCGCTGTGCACCAGAAAAAGGTGGGAGGATTGTTTCCCCTCTGCATTCCTCACAGACCTGGCATTAGCAGAGCAAATAAACCATCGGCGTGCCACATTTCTGAGGGAGTTTCTTTTGCCCCCAGGAGGAAAATACCTAATCACTCATTTCCTTTCCTCAACTGACACAGTGAGGCCAGGGCAAGGAAGAGATCAGTGAGCTATAAAAGGGAAACAGGAAGAGGAAATTGACAGGGTGAGCACAAAATTAATATAATCACCAAAAATGCTCCCTTTCTTGCAGCGTCTTGTTGTTTAGAAATTAGGACAATCTGGCGAGTTTTATTGAGGTGTTAAAGGCAATCAGATGTTAGCGTTGACCAAAGAGTCAAGAACCAGAAATATGTTAAAGCTGACAAGTCAGTCATTTCTCTGGCGTCATCTGCCAAGACAAAAGCAGCATTCACATCATGTCTAATGTTTTACAGTGTTTTTGATCTGCTTCAATAGATTTCTAGGGATATGTTTAAAGAGCCCATATTATCCACATTTACAGGTTTACTATTTTTCTTCTAGATTATGTTTACATGTTCTATGTTCAAAAACACATTATTTTTTGTATACTGTACATTGCTATAGTGCTTCTTCTGTCTAACATGCTCTGTTTTAGCTCCTGCCTCTTTAATGCCGCCCTGCTGAAAAGCTAAGTCTGTTCTGATTGGTCAGCTAGCCCAACAAAAGCCAGGTAACGTTGATTTAGTAACTGTCTTTGGTGTGGACTCTAGGCTTTGCAAGTTTGCAGACCTTTTACATGCACAAAAAAAACAAAAAAAACTGTGATACAAGGCAGAAACCCTAAAAGCTGGAACGTGCTCTTTAAATCCCTCACTCTGAGCACAACAGATGCCAGCTTTGCATTACATTAACTGTACAACAGTTGAATGGAACAAGAGACATTAGGCTTGTTTCCAATAATCCTCTGAACCATAAAATCTGCCAGTTGGTTTGAAAAGCATGCTATCTTTCAAAACAAATAAACAAACAAAAGAACAAAGTTGGCAAAAGGCAGAGAAGAACTGTCAACTTTCAGATTGTCACTTCCAGTTCAGTTGAAAAACCTATATACACACATATATTCTTTAAATTGTGATACTTAACCAAAGGCGCTTTATTCTATCTTCTAAAAACAAACAGTTTGCACCAGATTTATCAGGTGAACTGGATGCTGTGTTCACATAGAGCAGATAGGATACAAGTATAGAAACTAATTAAAAATATAGAAGTAGTAAAATATCTAGAGCCCGCAGTCCACAAAAATGTGTTCAGAGGGTTCATTGGTGTGAAGCGAGTAAACTTGGCAGACAGAAGGTGGTGCTATAGGCTACAATACACATGGCTTTAATAAACAAGGTAGAAGAAGCCAGGAACAAAACCATTTGGTAGAAAACTGCTTTAAAAAAAAAAGAAAAAAGAAAAAAAAGAAAGAACCCCCCCCCCCCAAAAAAAAGCTTAAAGATGAAATAAGCAAAACTTGTAATTGAGGAATAGTGAATTCTAAACAAATTGTTTTCAATAAGGCAAGTCATGATTATTCTTTCATGTCAGCTGGTAACGGCTATGTTTCATGCTGTCCTGAGTTTTAGCACAAACATCTGATCAGTCATGAGTTAAATGTTCAGTACATCAAAAGCTATTCAGAAAACTTGTTTTTGATCTTCCATGAAGGACAATAACTTCTTCAAAAAAGTCAATCATCTCAAGCGAGCGCAAAAACTTGCTGCCCCTAATATTGCTGTTTTTAATCATTTTTTTTCTAAAGCGATACTTAACAATTGTATAACAATACATCATGGAAACACAACTAGTGTTTATGTACTTTATCTTCAACAAACATATAAATCAAAAGGACAATAATTTGGTGACCCTTTCTTTTCCCAAGGACCAAACAATGCAGGCACTGCTAGAACTCAAACAAATTTATGCAATCTCAAGATTCTAAACTCCTGAAGGGACTAATTAATGAGTAACACCAACTGCAGTGTTAACAAGAAACTCCATGGCATTGTAGTTCCCCAGGACCAAAATTTCCACCCACAGCTCAATGTTATGTTTTCAAACAGAACCATGTTTAAAAAAAGTATGGCTGCAGGGGAGGAAATGAAAAGAATGCAAGCCTGGACACTGAATTCAACAGACCTACAGTCATTTCAGTTGCCAGATGGGGTCACTTCTCTGTACTCCTGATGTAATGAGGAGTAAATGTGGTCAATTCCGTTTTGTTCATTAATATTAAAACAGCGTAGTAAAGTGACTGCCATAAGCTCTGAGAGGCAGCACTACCAAACACAGATCACCAGAGGTCTACCAGCCTGTTACAGACCTGTGGCCAAAAACAAACCAACGTGATTCACAAAGGAAGGCAGGGTCTGTGTGCAGCCTCGAGCACCAGAACTTCACAGGTGAGCAGGAGGTGCTCACAGGTGCAGAAGGGGTGTGTGCTCTGTAGTTTCTAAACCAAAACAACAATGTTTTGTTCTGACAATATTAGACATAATGGGGGTTCTGCTCACCAGGTGAGAGGTGTGTCCCTTTAAAATCTTTGTTAAGGTATTCGCATTCATTTATGTAGAATATTGACACAAGAACAAGATCTGTCTGAGCATCCAGACTGTCACCGGCAGCTTTGTTCTTATGCTACTTTCACCCAGAGCTCACATGCATCAGAAGAAAGTCTTTAATCAAGACATATGCTTTTTTGCTTTTCGACATTCTGCAAAATACACAACTGTCTTGTAAAGGGTATAAGTGTGAAGTTGATTAAAAACCACTTCAGTGCTGGCTGAAAAACAAAGCTAGCTAAGGTGGGTCTGTATTCTCTAGGTTGATTGGTTCTTCAAAGTTAACTAATTGTAAAATGTTTTTTTACTTTTTTGATTAATGCCATTATAACTGTGTCACACTACATAGAAGACACCTTTGAGTTCTCTCTACCTACAGCCATGATTGTGGCATTTCCAAAGAGCTGTAGGACTTTATGTTCCAGTGAAACATGAGCCCACAGTGAGTATGAATGTGACAGAAGCAAAAACCGTCCAGAAACTGCTTGACGTTCAAAGGTTTACAGCAAATAATGTAATCCTTGCTACTCATAACATATTACAGCCTGAATTACATTTAGTTACAATTTGATTTTTAATCTTAGAAAGAAGATCTTTTAACACAACAAACTCCAATTATTTTCAGAGCAAAGTTGTGTGTTTACTTTAAAAAGCTTAATGTGTGTATTAGATGGCAAAAGAATCGGAACAGAGTGGCAGACTGCACCCACCCAGGGAAGGAACAAAGAGAGCTGAGGGGAGATCTGCAGGTACCTGGAAGTATGGTGCATAGCTATAGGCTTGAGGGGGGGGACTGAAGCCAGTTGCACCATATGGCATATGGTAAGTTACTGTCTGCTGGGAGAGGGAGCTCTGGATGATGTAGGGGTCATAGCAATATTGCTACAGGCAGGAGGGTAGTTGCATATACAAACAGTTACAAGCTGTCACACATGCAAATATTAGGTATTAATGTACAACATGAAGGAACAGCAACAATTTTAGCTGTATAGATAAAAAATTACTCTTAAGCCTGCACTAGAAGCCAAACACCAACTTAAAGCCATATCATATGAAATTATGTGTAATGTAATCAGAGAAAGCAATACTAGTGTTTTATACGGGATAACTGAATGAGCAGCTTTAAATATGCTACTCAGCACATGATATTGATCAGGAAACACAGGAAAGTAAAGGAAGTGTTACCAAGGTCATGACACCCATACGATCCAGTTCTCTGTTGGGGCTGCGGGGAATTCGTCTGGGGGTCGAGTGGCCAGACCCGGGTGGAGAGCTGCCCAGCGAGGAGCCGGCACACAGTGACGGAGGGATGGAGCTCATGGAGCGGAAACGACCTCCCAGGCTGTCACCGCTGCCCACCCGACCCTCGATCTCCTCTGCTCGGATTGCTGTGCTCTCCTTCTCCTCCTGGATCATTCTACAGGAGAAGAGGAAAGAGAAAAGGGTGGAATCAAATTAAAAAACTACTAGCTTGGCTTCTGTGGGTTTGCTGTGGAAGTGATGTTGCTGGTGGTACCTAATTTCATTGTTGATGGCATCCAGCTGCTCCTGCAGCATTAAGGCAAGGGTCTGTGCGTCAGCCTGGCCAGCAGGGGACAGCAGGTCCACCGAGCTGAAAATGGTCTCTCGATCCTCCTCCAGGTCTGAGGCGTCCATGTCGCTCTCAAAGGCCTGGGCCACATTTGCCAGCACATTAGCCTGCTGCATGCGCTCCCACTCCTGCTCATTCAAAGTCTGCACCTGGATTCATAAAAGCAGGTGAAGAAGGGAAATGGAAGAGAAGATAAAGATAGCAGAGGAAGCAGATTTTGAAGGCGGAAAAGGGATATTGCAGGGAGAAAATAATAAAAGACCAAGAAAGCAGGCAGTAGGCATATGAGAGAATAAGAGGTGACACAGGAACAAATGGTTAACTTGAGTATTTGTCACGAATGCATCACACAGACAGAAGTAACCAACACTGTTAACTCCAGCACACTGACTTACATGCCGCTGACGTCCACAATGGAAGCAAACAAAAAGAAGTAGAGAAGAAGAAAATCATCAGACAGAACTCAAACAGGCAAAGAAAAGAAAAAGCCACACAGTCACACATGTTACGAGGCAGACAACACAAAACCCACAAGAAGAACAGGGAAACTTGCAAATCTCATAGGATTCCTAGGTCTCATTTTTCACTGTGATTAGATAATGGTAGTGAGGAACTGTGCAACATAAATTGTCTATGTGGAAGTGCCAGGGTGACATGCACATGTTTACAAATGTTAGCCAGTGAGTTAGTTAAAGGATCAATCTTCCAGCTGCTGCATGCATTCTTAAACCTCTGAACCCCAAAACCTGCCGGCAGATTTAGACGCCGTGTTTTCATTAAAAAATAAAAATAAAATAAACAAACAACTTGCTAAAATTATACCACTTATCGTCAGAAACTGTAAACACAGAAAGAATCATCATTTTTAGACAGTCTTTAAACTTGTCATCTGTGACGTGTGATTAAATCAAGAAAATTGACTAAATCTAAACTGAAAATCCTGATATTTCCTTAAAACCCCCTTATTCTACAGGTTATTTGTCCAAAGCAAACAGTTGAAAAGAGATTCTCTAAAAAATTTTTTTTAAAAATGCACCCTTGAGGCCTCATTTTTTTTCCACTATTGGTAACACCTGGAGGCACATTTTTCTATTTCAGTTTTTTTCTTTTTTTCATAATTTCTAGCTTTATAGCTGTTATGTTTTACAGAAGACTTCTTCAAGTTCTCTATACTTTTAGTCGTAGTTGTGTCGTTCCCATAGAGATGCAGAATTTCAAATTGCAGTGACCACAATGAGTAGAAATGCCACAGGAGCAAAAAAACACTCCGAAAATGCTTGGAGTTCAGAGGGTTACGTGACTGATCTTCCAGCTGCTTGGTGCACTCATTATACATTATTTAAAAAGCTTAATATTTATTTTGTTTAGATTTTATACAACTCCTAGAAGTGTGCAGTCAAAAAAACAAGCCAACGGAAGATAAGCTCACCTTTGATGGCTCGTCGCGCAGCGCTGCCACTCGTCCCTTTTGAGGCCGTCTCAGTACGAGAGCACTGCCGTAATGGTCTGAGTTACTGTCCATCATTGAGGAAGCCGACACTGGGTACCTGAAATCTGGGGTGCTGCCCAGCTGAGACCGCCTGCAAAAACCACAGACACACCAATAAGAATAAATAAAAAAGAACTGTCAGAAGTTGAAACGGTGAATGCTGCCAGTTAACCAGCTTACCCGTGTAGTAAGGAGTTGCTCCTGCTCCTCCCCTGCTCATTCTCTGCCCTCATCGTCTCGATTTGGATGAGGAGCTGCTCCTGTAGGAGAGGACATATATAGATGTAACTGTTATGTGGTAAAAGAAACCAACTCTGGAGCAATAAACGAAAACAATAACAGTGCTAACTTGCGTAAGATAATAAAAAATACATATAAAGGCCCACTCCGACTCCATGCATCATTAGTCATGTGTAATCGCAAGAAAATTAAATACTACTGCAGCCAAAAAGACTGTTTCCACTAAATGCATGTGACGTCAGAACAGGACTCATCTTGTTAGCCTCTGAGAGATGAAATTAAGGCTGTAAAGAACAAACGCTTTCATTGTTGATTCATCTGGTGACTACAAACTGCTTGGAGTTTCGAGGGTTTCAACACATATTCTTTTCCCTTTAAAATTTAACACCCATGATTTCCGCAAACTGGCTTCTTATCGACAAAATATTTGTCAGCAGTAAGTTAAGACAAAATAAATATGAATATGTGGGGTCAATTCAAGTGGTACTCTTATTATTTTCAGTAAGAAACACCGGTCCTACTATGAGAAAAAAAAAAAAAGTCTGGAGTCCTGCTTGCAGTCACAACAGCCATTAGAAGCTCAAATACCCCCCAAAACACAGATAAAAGTGAGGAATCAGCTTTAAACCTTTTCATACCTTCTCATGGTGAGACTCCTCAATCAGTTTCTTGGTGTGCTCCAGTTCTCTGATCAGGGCATTCTGTACAGAGACAGGAATAACACTGACACACTGGCAAATAAACACTGACTGAGCTACATACCATGACATATGATGCTGCTGCTAACTGGTCATGGGATACACATACAAGAGAAGCAACAAATATTTGTGCAATTACGGTGTCCTCAGCTTGCCTGCTTTTCTGTAGGGCTGGACCCGAATGTTTAACTATTCAGACAGTTGTTTTCAAATGTTGTTATAAAGGCTAGAAACTCTGCTAATCACCTTATCCTCCAGAGCAGACATCCTCTCTTTGAGGTGCAGCTGGAGTCTCTCGTTGGACTCTGACAGCAGCTTATCCACAGTCTCAGACAGACGCTTGTTGTGCTCCTCATTCATCTTCTCTCGCTGCCGTGCCTGCAAAAATTGAAACATTTCAGTACAATTCACATGTTATGACAGTTGCTACCTCAGTAAAAAAAAGAAAAAGAGGTATAGAAGATTTTTCCTCTTACTCACCCTGAGCAGTTCCTGGTTCTTCTCCTCCAGCTGGGCCTCCAGCTGCCTCAACCTCTCCTCAACGTTGCCATGGCGTTCCTCTGCCTGAAAGTTGGGGGCAATGATAAAAAAACCATAATTGTTTCTTTATCAAGATATTCTTGGTTTGGTAGGTTCAATCCTCTTGGGGCTGACAGCATCTCTACAGCTAGGCCTTTAATCCTGGAGAAGGACCAAGCTAAGACAAGGCCTGAGGAAGCTTGGTTCTGTTTGAGGTTATGGGGGCAGAGCTCAAGTCCTTCAAAAGGATGGAGTCACAGACGTACACATTACGTGAACTTGCAGCTAAAAGCCAAACATCATGCACTAACTGCATAACAACAAAGTAGCAAAGCAGCATGACCCATAAACAAGTATGCCAAGCTCATACTACAGGAGTTTACAATCCTAACAGACTTTGGAATCAGGTTGTATCACAAAGAACTGACCAGTGAACAAACTGACATCATGATACGGAAATTACATTGTGATACTGAAGAAAAACTTTCGTTACAACAAATTGGCTTAAGAATAAAACACGCATCTGGTGTACATAGCAATGCTGATGCTTTTTCTGTTTAAATGTTGTTGGTTATGTCGACTAATCCTGGCAGCTCTTCTACATATCAAATATGTTTGATATTATCAAGCTGAACCAGATGAGTCTGCAAGCAGTTCTGCAAGTTTCAGACTGGCTCTGTAAAACCCTAACATCACTAAATAATGTGGGCTGAGCATCGGTTCAGGCCAAGATCCCAGACCAGCTTTCTGCTGTGATTGTCTGGAGGGTGAAACAGAGGTCAATAAACCTGAAACTCCTGTAGTCTGAGCCTGCCATGAAACAGAAACAGCAGCCAATGCTTCCCATGATGTGGTTCTACCACAGAGATTCTACCAACATATAAAGACTGCATGTATATCAATAATTGATTCAATATCCATCTGCAGTGAGGCACACAGAAAAATACAACTACTGTATATTAGCAGATATAAAAGCCAACAGGCTGGTAAACTTTTTTTCTGTACGGCAGCCTGTTCTCGATTTGTAGTATCTCCAAAGGGCAGGGTCTCCACCAGTCTTTGAGCAAATCAGTTGGCACTTCCTGTTTGTGTTAGATACTAAGAAGTAGAGTTTGTGTGTTTGAGGAGTGGTACCAGCATGAAGCACAGCTCACCAGCACATGAAGCACAGACACACAGGCGTACAGACAAAGACAGACCAAGGCCTTTTTTTTTTTTTTTAGGTTTGACTAAATATCATGGCACTTTGCTATTGAGTCTGGTACTGCACTTAACCAGGAATTTGTTTATTTTTAATTTTTCAAGCTTCTGGGATGCATAATTGTTTCTTTGTTACTTGTGCGGATGCAAACATAGCGAGTACTTTCTATTGGCTGGTTAAGTTCAGTAACAGGGCAGAACTGAATTTCTGAGTATCCAGGACCAGGAGGATGGGTTTGTGCAGAAAGCTGGTCTACCTTCTTCACAGTCTTAGTGCCTTTAGAGCCACACAGAACACACTAGGGGTTTGACATGGAGGTGGCACAGGCAGCATGAAGACCACACAAAAACAGCATGACAGAAACACAGAAAGAAATTAGAAAAAACAGAGAACAAGGGATACATTTAATCTGAGCTTCGGCACAATTAAATGTAGTGGCTGAAGGGAGCAACTGTAGATTAAACGATGGGAATATGAGTTTAGTGAGCTGAAGACAGAGCAGGGAGACAAACTGACAACATGTAGTGAAAGAATACAACGATGATGACGACATTGTGTTATAAGCACCTTCAAAAAAAAAAAAAACAACAACAGTAGAACAAATTTGTGTCCATGTCTTTGAGCTACATGGAGAAAATATTACAACAAATCAAACATTTCCTTCCATTTCTAAGCATGTTGGGTTATATGCAATTTATACCTTGCTTTCTTTTTGTTTGTTTTTTCAGTTGTGTTACCACAACATGTCTATGTCCTGCACAAAGTCAAATCAATATTCTTCTCTGGTTTTCCCCTCGGTTTTGTGTGCATTTGGACAAGTCTCTGTGTGTCATTTTGTGACTGAATATAACTAATTCAAATCAACAAATGTAACTACAATGAAACAAAAGAAAAACTATACATGAGTAACTGTGGAACAAACACAGGATTAAATATATGACAGGAGGCCATTACTTCCCCACAGTCTTTCAATCAAAAGACTGAGATAAGAATAGTGACAAAGCTTAAATATTAGATATGTAATGTCAGCCAGATCCAACACTAATAAGGTACTAAGGTGCCTGTCCAAGTTCTGCAGCAGCAAGTGTTGTCCAGACAAAAGCTCAAACTATAAATGGATAAAAAGAGAAGCCAAATTTCTAAAAATAGGTTCCTGTGGATATTTGGAGTAACATAAACAATGGCTTCCTCTGCAGCTTCTACAGTGAGTTCCTGGTTGCTACAATGTAAAGGAAGTTTTCTAATAATCCGGGGTACATTACGTGTACTGGCGGGTATGTTTAGTCTGAATACAGTTAGAAGCAGTGGGATTTTAGGTCAACATATTGATTAAGAGACTCCAATTCAACAATTTATAAAGGTGGGTTGAGCAGTACACAGGGCAGTGGTAAGGTGCTTATACCTTTGTGAGGGCAGCGACTCTCTGGGCGAGCTCAGCTTCCACCTCAGGGAGAGTCTCTGCCTTGCGAATCGTCTGCTGCAGCTTCTGCTCAGCCAGTTCCAGCTTCTCCTGCAGTTGTCGGTTTCTGTCTTCAGTCTACGGCAAACAAACCAAAAAGTCATTAGCAAACATGTTAAAGACGCATCTGTTCTACATCCTGGCCTCAGGGTTTGCTTTCAGCTTCACAAGGTGAAGAGAGTGGCAGGAAATAAGACTGTAGGCCGGGGAGAGAGCGAGGGAGACAAAGGGAGACAGGGTGAAGGGATGGGTATGGGTGGGGTGGGCAGGAAGTGAAGAAGAGAGCATTCAAAATGGTACAAAGACTGACGAAACCCACAAGAAAAGAGAAGAAAGACATCTCCATCTCCAGTGACTACATGTAAAGAAACAAGCCAGTGTCTTCAAGGCATCCCATTCAGGGCCTGCTGCGCTGGTCAGTGTGTGAATATAGCAAGAATTCATTAGCAGGAGTCTGAAAACTGCCAAAGAGAACTGCAGGCGATTCCTGCTGGCAGACAGCTCTGAGACTGAAACACCAAAACCAACACATGCTTCTAAGACAGATTATAGATGACAAATTACAGACGAACCGGTGCAGGCTTCAGTAGCTCGCACACCTAATTGGTGACCACACAGCAGGTGATTTTTTAAAAGTTTTAACCAAAGAGCAGGGTTTTTCCGATTCAGTATAAGCTTTTGGGGGTTGACTACACACGACAGTAAGCATGATTAGTCTGGTTACAGTAAAAACAATGAGTCTGTGGAACTTTACTTAACAGAAATGTATGCCTTTTTCTGTTGTTTCTGACTATTTGATATACAAAACACCTATTATGTTGAGTAAATGAAACCCCAATGAACAAAATTAGTTAAAATAAAATAATGAATAGTAATTTTCACTTGTAATTTTTCTCCTTTGGCTCTAGCTAAAACCTTTGAGAATGTCAAAAATTCCTCAATGCAGGAAAAACAGACAAGATCCCTCCTTGATTTATTGTCAATAACCCACTGAATCCCCCCCTCCAACCAAATTCTGTAGAAAAAAATCTGGGTTCCTTGATGCAACTGTGAAGCAACTAGTGACACAGCTGCAACCAACAGTCACATGAGAAAAATTCAGGGACTTTTTAGCTGTAATGGGCTGAACTGCAGGCAGTGTTTACACAGAGCAGATAGGTGACAGATTGGCAGCAAATTTCAAAATGTAGGTAGTAAAATATCTATAGTATGTAGATCCACCATGTTTTTCAGGAATCTGTGCCTCTTCCTGCTTTTTCTAACCAAAATGGCTCTATGCAGGAAAAATACTGAGTTGTATGGGACATACCTGTCTGAATAGAGACTCCTTATTGGCCACTTCATTCTCCAGCTTGTCGTTGAGGTCATGGACGGAGGTAGCCTCCCGCTGAGCTGCCAGGTAGCGCTTCTCTAAGGTGGTGATCCTCTCCTCCATATCTTCCTTCTGAGCCATTGACTAAACACACAAACATCTGCATCAGTATCCTCCCATCACTGTTTGCCTCTGACCCTTGACTCCTGTCTGCTGACTTGGCACAGAAATCAGCACGCTGGAAAAAATTTGCTTTGTTGACAGAATGCAACTCAAATAGATAGGAGGTGTTAATATTAGACCGTTTTCCACTGCAGGAACTTGTGGGTCATTTTAGGGCAGCCAAAACTTTTGTGTGTTCCAACGGCAGGAACCACCCTTCGAGAGGGGTGTTTTCAGGGGAGAAAAAGCACCTACTCCAGGGTAAGTACTTTTGAATGGCCCTAAAAAAAACTGCTTGACATTGGTTGGTTGGTTAGTTTGACTCTGAGAGGAAGACAAGCAATTTTTTTCTGCCCTCACATTGTCCTCCTCCAGAGCAGACTTCTCTCTAACAACACCGACACAGGAGAACATAACAAAACATCCACTGTCGTATTTCCTACATGCTTATAAAACTAGAATTGTGTCCAGAAACGACTATTTTTCGTGGTTTTGGTGCAATTGCATCCACAACTGTTGCACTGCAATGGAGACACAAAGGCCAAAGGGGTCAGTTTGGAGTCATTCCTGTAAATGTTTGTGCCACCTCACACCTGCCACAAGTTCCTGCAGTAAAAAGCTGCGTAATATATACAGCATTACGAGAATTCAAGCACTGTTGATGTTGACAATGCCAATAAAACTGCCCTGGCTAAAAATATTTAACACTGTTATGTGTAAAGAAAGCACTGCCAAGGAAATACACATAAAGATCGCGCGAGAGAGTTTACTAGCACATAGTTCAAGCCATCTTAAGTGACATCTACACTCACATTTTAAAACGCATAACTTCTGCTACTTTTTGGCCTGCCATCCACATATTTTTAAATATTTCCAAAACTGAACTAAAACACTAGTTTGGATCGTGATCATTTCAAAATTGAAACGTGTTAGTGTGGATTTCAAACAGACGCTGCCATCTGTACCTCTCTGAGGTCTCTCTGTAGCCGCGTGTTCATGTCTTCAGACTTAATGAGGTCCTTTCGGGCCGTGTCCAGGTCCTCCTCCAGCTCATTGATGCGCGACGCCATGGCAGCCATGCGCTCCTTCATCTGGCCCAAATCAGCCGTCTGACGGTCCACTACCTCCTGGAGCTCGCCAACTTTCCCAAATCCAAGGCCGGTCTCCTCCTCCTGACTGAGGGAACCATCCGACGACCGCTGTAGGGGCATTAACACATGTTGGGTTTTTTTTTTTCAAATACACACAAGATAAACAGAACAAATGCAGAACTCAATTAATTTCTTTTAAATATTAAAAAAAAGGTAAGATCAATAAGTATGCAAAAATGTCTACATTATTATTTGACCTAAAGTATAGGCTATAAATATTTCTGAAAATATCTTCAGAGACAATAATTCTAATAAGAGACTCATCTTACTTCTGCGCTTCATGAATTTCATATTACATATTAGAAAAAGACAATAAAATACAGTGTAAATATCCTGAGTTAATTAGATTCCTTAAGATTTAATTTCATTACCGTAACACATGCTCAACATTTGTCACTCACAAACAACTGCTGCCTTGCTGCCCGCTTGGTGTTCACAAACATGTCATTTAACATATGCTGTTGAGTAACCTCACCTTGCCATTAGTGCTTGGTGTGTTTTCAGAGTTGTGGTTGACCTCGCTGGTTCCATCTGCCAGCCCTCTCTTCTGACTGCTCTGCTCCCTGAGGTAAGCCAGCTAGAGAAAACACCAGTTTGTTAGCAGCCTGTTGAGTCATTCATTCAAAACAATTATCAGGTTAACCACTAAACCAAGAGTGCAAACCTACTTTTGCTTCCTTTTATCTTTTATGATGGTATTTTTTCCTCATTTCACTCAGGCAAAGTACTGCATGTGTGTGTGTGCGGCAGAGAGATACAAAGAAGCATAGCCAGAAGCCTAAAATAGGCCGAGTGGCTTGAGTCTTGAGTTCAACCCACAACTATTGTGGTTAGAGATTCACATGAATACATTCAATGTCAAATGGCCAATAGGTAATAAAACAACTGCAAAAAGCTGCCTTGCCTAAGGAGGTAAACTCCTTAATAAAACCAGAGAGTGGCAACTGGCTGATTTTGTGTATGTGTGTGGTCCCGGGCTGACTCCCAGGAACAAGAGATGACTGTAGCATGAAGCATAGAGGAAATCTAGGACACCTCCCTGACATCCTCTGGGCTCTTTAGTCAATCTTAATCCCATTCAACACACACAGGACTGAAGAATCTTCCTATCTTTGCATGCATGTGCACATAGGAGTCGTGAATGTCTTTATCCTAGAATATGTAAATAGAAACAGAAGAGCTTGAAAGGTTGTCATTTGACTTCAGCATTATCTCTCTATTCAGTTTGTATGACCACAGATAAATAAAAGGAGGACATCATTCAGTTACTACTGCATTTTAGGACTACAGTGTTCAGGTCAATTGGTTGGTCGATATGATCAAATACCATACAATAACATTTAAATTGGCTTTACAGTTGCTTACAACCATAATATAATGAATTTAAATAATTTATTAGACTACATTTGAACATCCTGGCTTTTTTGCAACTTTGAAATGGCCCGAACTGATGGAGAATGATAGATCTAAATTATTTAACATTTACTAAACATTTACTCAAAGTCAGCTCCAAACTAACAGACACAATGTCAAAGAAGTCATCAGTGTGGCTGCACTTGGTTCAAACTGATTGTCAAAAAGTCGTGTGTACACTTTGCTAACAACAGTTTGTATATCGCAGCTCAACAACCAACATGGCAGATCATCTAAAAGCAGCAGGCTAACTTTTCTGACATTTTCCTCAATAGTTCTTGTGCTGGAATCATCAGTTAGTTATACTAATGCACACTGGTCTGCTCTGAGTCTGTTGTTATTATTTCAGTATAAAATAACCAGCTTTAAATGGTTTATTACACTAGAAGTACTACTTTTTAATGCTGATAATAAAGCTAGCAGGTAGAGAGTATTCAGGGTACAGTGGACCATTTAGTTCGTCTACAAAAAAGGCATTGTCTGTTTTTTTCCTGCAACCAATCAATTGATTGAAGAGTAGGTACAATTTCAATACAACAAGACTTTCTTTGCTTCATTTCTCCCCTGCCATATTTCACTAGCATGGTCAGATACTTAAACCACCTTCACTTTGAATTTCTGCAATGCTCAGCACCATGAATAAACCTCCATTGCATCTGCAATGTAAGTATGAATTGACATATTAAGTATCAAAATCACCCAAATAACCACATTGTAAAGAACCTAAACATATGGACAGCTCCGTCCTACTGGGCAAGGCTTCCCAATAATAGCCCAAATGCTGCTCTCGTAGCAGCACGTCTGTGGTTAGACAAATTACAACAGCAGTGACATTCAGTGGTGAGAACCATCTGTTTACTGTATTTTTTTCTGTGGTTGAATTGGCAATGTTCAGCTGGGCGTTAAATTTAAGCCTAAACGTATCATTCACCAGGTGCACATATGTTAAACATGCAAAAGCTGAGAATTAGCCTCTCACGTTGGTCCAATAAACATTCCTACATCACATGAATGCAGCATTATGTTTCTTACAGACCTACAACTTGAAAAAACTGTATTGGTATTGTGCTGAAGACAGGATTTAATTAAAACCTGAACTTGGCAAGACTGCTTTTAATTACAATGCACCCAACTAGTAAACTTGTGATTGTTTCACGTTAAATGTATTTTGTTTTGATTTTAATTACTCACTTTAGAGTATCTACTCTATTTGCAAGTTTTAGTGTTTCTCCTTTTACTATGTTTTTAATTGACATTTTAATTATTTTATCTAGCAAATCTTCTTTTCTGAAGTGGAAACTTTAATGTCTTTATTCAATCAGCTGTATAATGCTACTCTTCTGTCAGCATATTCTTTTGTTGTTCATCTTTGTTGCTCCTTGCTATTGTAATTTGATTCAATGTCACTGAGAAAGAGGAACACTCTTTACATGACCTGTTAAATATAAACAAAGGCTGAACGAATGAATGAAAGTAAATATCTCTAGTTATTTTCCAGATATGCTGTTTGCTTACTTCTTTGTGCGAGATGGTGAGCTGTTCCTCCAACGCGCTGCATCGTTCCAAGGCAACGCGAAGTCGTTCCCTTACCTTGAAAACGTGAAACAAATATAAACACCATGGATCTTTGTTTTACACAAATTTTGTCGCCTTGCAATATCAAATATCTGTAATTTACATGTTATCATGTACACTTATGTGAACAACTGCAAAAAAACCCCCAAAAAACAAAACTGTACCTTCTCATCAAGGGCTTTGTGGTGTTCAAAAAGTGACTTAAGGGCTTTGAGGACCTCCACCTCACTTGAGACGCCTGCTGGAGACTGAGCCTGTCTCTTCACCACCGTCATCCTCAGACTGCGTTCATGGCGAGACACCAGGCACTCCAGGTGCTCCAGCAGAAGCTGCTCACACAACAGGCAGCGTTAACAAGTTAGAAACGTGTTGGCACAAACGCATTTATCATCATCAGTTCAGATCTAGATCAGCATTTTCTCTTTTAAGTAAACAAATGTGCAACTCCATTAGACAGAAATCAACACAACAGCTGTCAGCAATACGTTTTATTGCCTGTGGTTGAAATAGTTTGATGATTAAGCAGTTTGCCACGCCCATAAGCTGTGACAATGGTGTGGATTATGAGATAGAAACTGATTAGTCAACCAGTGTTATGACAACCATCTCTACTCATAACAGAAACATGCAGACTATCCAAACTTTCCTCATCAATGGTTGTGTGGTTGTGTGTGCAGCAGCACATTCTACTAACCCGTGTGTTGTTTCTCTCGGCCTTCAGCTCTGCAATCTCCTCCTCTTTCTCAAGAAGCTGCTCCCGGCACACGTTCACCTCCTTTGTTAGTGCAGCAAACTCCTAGAATAGAAAAAGACAAATTTGGTAACGTAACCACTACTTACTAAGCTGTTTTTATGTTAGGGCACAGCAGTGCATGAGAAAAAACATGGTGGTAGCGGGAAGATTTTACATCCGAGGCCAAACACAAATTCTAAATCCACAGCAGCAATGTCATGCCTGTTCCTAGAAGTAAATGCATGTCATTAAACTGTAAATGCTCGACCAGTCAGGCCATCATCTTGAATATCACCTGGATTCAAAAAAGAATTAAAAGGCAGTCAGATCAACATGTCTCCTTCTGTCTCTGAATGGTTCACAATACAGACCAACACTCTGAACCACAATCAATATCTGTACGTTTTCTGCGCCTGTTGCATTTTTAACTGAGTGAAGACGAGAGGCTTCTCTGGGCACAGCCTCACTTTCTGCTTGTTGGTGGAGTCTATAACTTACCAATGTTCCCTAAATGTCACAAGAGCAAGCTACGGTAGTCATTAGCTAAGAGGCTGTGCACAGAGAAGCCTCTAGTCTTCACTCATTTACTGCAGTACAGCAGCTCAGACAGACATGTGACCAAAAATTACTCGATGAGCCGACCACTTTAAACATCAACACTGCAGGAGATCATGTTCACTTAATTGTGGGAAGCCTTAACGCTGAAGTTGATGCTTCTCCTCATCAACATATTTGCTCACTACTCATGTAAAGATATCAATAAAATTAGCTCCTGCTTCACTACACTCTGAGTTTGACAAGATCACACAGAAAAACTATGACAAGTAACAGCAAACATTTCTGTTTCTCCCTGCTGACAAGGGCACGGTCATGTTTACATCAGAAACAATGGATTCGGACACCACAGCCGCTCGCTGTCTCATAAATACTATGACCTCTCTGCACTGTTTTGACGGTTTTCCAGGAGAGCTGATCTGTAATAATACAGACTTGTTGGTTATGATAACATTCCTCAGAGTTTCTTAAGAAGGAACAAGGTCTGCTGTTAAAGAGAAGGAAGAGACAGTGAAACACCATCAGATCATTCGGTCAAACACCTATTTGCCTATGACAGACAGCAGAATACATGATACTGCCACTTTGTGTACCCTCCATTACTCTCACATCTTTCTCAGGTTCTTTTCAAACAAATGCAGTTATGCATACACACACACTCACGGATGCACACACTGCTTTTAGGGATTATATGCATGGTTGGACCCCTAAAGAATGTGCCATCCTGATTTTTTGCCCTGTAGCACAAGCACCGTGAGTGGTGAGGCCTTCTTGCTATGTTTCCGAGGGTAGGAGGGTGGGGGGCGGGGGAACAGAGGGCTGCTGGAACTGATCGTTCTTTTCAGGCCCTACCACAACTATTCTCCCTTCCCTCTACTCCAGCCTCTGAGCTTTTCCAGCGCTTGGCACAGATTCTGCTCGACTAAAGGAGTCAGAGGGAGTTCGCTATTGGCTACAGTCAAGGCCTCCACTCTGTGTTAGCCAATGAGGGGAGTAGGAGGCAGGCCCAGGGGTAATTACAGAGTGGCTTACTTCCTACATTCCAGAGCAGGCGCTGAGGTTCAGTTATACAGCAACCTTGAGATTTCTCTGTGTCTCTGCCATTTATGACCCTGCTCTTCTCCCTTATCAATCTTTAATTTATCATACTGGGTATAAACCAATGGCAGCTTGGGCTTAACTTTTACACTTGCATGGTGGAAATGTGTCAAATGAGCCATAAGGAAGCGCTTATCAAATCTATCAAATCATGACACAGTACACTGCCAAAAAAAAGTACATCATCTTAAAATCCAACTCGGTTTCGATCATCAAAACCAATCCACAGATACTCCCACCCTCCACCTAATATGCACATGCCCACCTACTTCATAAACATATAAATTAGGAAGTCCTTTTAAAGGCGATTAGTCAGCATAATGTTGACACTGAAACATCAATATTTTATCTTTTAAATAAAATTAAATCTGCAAAATACCCCCATTTATCAGTCTGAAACTGTAAAAACAGGAGGGATCATCAGATTTCCAACTCTCCAACAGTCTTCAATCTAATCCTGTACGACATGAAGCTTTCATTGGGGAAATTAACCAAATGTAAGTTAAAAAAAAAGAAAAAGCATTTGCACCAGATTCTAAAAAAAAAAACAACAAAAAAAACTAACTAAAAGTCTACACTCTAAAGCACAACCCACAAGCAATGAGTGACTCAGCTGTGACCAACAGTCACGTGATAAAAAAAAAAATTCAGAGACTTTTAATTTCAACTCTGGGTTGTGTTTACACAGAGCAGAGAGAAGACAAGAATGAAAACAAATTAAGCTGGCACTTCCATAATAACAGATTACATACACATCATACATACACAAGGCTGGAATAATTACACACCTGTAATCATGTCAACTTTGCGTGTGTAGGATGTGTATATAATCTGTAATTATGGAAGTGGCAGCTTAATTTTCAGTGTTATGAAAAAGAAGCAAGGGCTGCTTAGTGCGCTGATCTAAATGAATAATTTTCCTTCAAAACAACATTTTTTTGAACTTATAAGTATATTTACCACTGGTAAAGCACCAAAGGAAATAAATAGCTCTACCTACTACTGAACACAGAGCAGTTTTTTGTGGCTCAGAAATAAGCACTACCTTCAGTATATCATTTCTGTAGATCATTTTCAGAAGAGCATAGACACTGAGCTGCAAATATCTCTGTTCACTTGCTCAATACATAGAACAGTTTAATCTCCAAATATACGATGTGTGTCTCAAATTCAAATATGCAGAGAATACATGATCATAAGCTTGCACGCATGCACATGCAGCCATGGGCATTCGGGGCTGATCCCGGGGTAAACTGGTGCACGGCTCAGTTAGTGCAGATGAGTGACATGCTGGTTAGATGTGGACTGAGCTGCTCTGTAAGCCTCAGAACAGGGGAGGGGATTAAGGGGGGTACACGAATATGTGTGCCAACCTATTAAAGGAACAGCGTACCAAAACACGAAGGAACACACAAAGGCTTTTCAGGGATAACTGTACTCTGTGTCGCACTCCGTACTCCACCACCTTTGTGGCACTGAGACTGAGACTAATTTCCCTATTATAATTCAATTAAGGGTGGATTGGAGAGAGTGAAAAAACACAGGAATGGCACACATGAATAACGTTCCCACAGAGATATTAAAATTCCAGTCTCTTAGTTTTAAAATATTAGCTATTTAATCTGAATTGTCTCTTATTTAGAAAAAACATGTCAGCTGCCCAAGAGAAAGCCTGAGGATCATGTACACAAGGCAATTTAAGGATAATGATATAACACCTTCAGTATAACATGCTAACTAAGTATCTTTGGCAAAATGGAGTGTAACATAATATTAGGGCTGTGGTGTCCAGATAAACTGGTGACTGGTTGGCCAATATGTTCATCTGACCAAATTCTCATTGGTCAGACAATAATCTGGTCCAGAAATAATCCATTATTATGGGGGGCAGGAGGAACAGACCACCTGTGAACATACTTGCATTTTCACAACTTTTAACTGGCCCAACCAAAGGAAGACTGTGTGTCTTACTTATTTAACGTTGATTAAACTTATACATGGAGTATGATCCAAATTAACCAAAACCATTTCAAAGAAGTCACTGGTGAGGCTGCATTGTTCAAAGAGATGGCAGAAAGTCAAGTGTAAACTTTTTAAATAGCATTTTGTACATCATAGCTCAACAACCAACATGGCAGGACATCTAAAACAGCAGCTAACCTGTGTTATATTCCTCAATCGTCCTTGTGCTGGGATTAGTAGTTGATGAAGCCGTTTCAAAAATCATATGTATATGGGCAGGTGTGTGCTGGTCTGCTCCGAGTCTGTTGTTAATATTTTAGCATAAAATAACCAGTCCTAAATAATATAATATGCTGAACACATTAACTTTTTATATTTATTTACAATGAATTTAGCGCAGTGTGTCCCATTTAGTTCATCTGCAGATGACGTGCAGATTTATTTTTTTCCTCAGGAGTAATCAGTTGGTAGATTGACAACTGTGTCAAAACCTAAAACTTGGTACCTGCACCAACGAATGGCACAAAAATCTAACTCATATCTCGCATTCACTGCGGCTACAGCAACATTGTTGAAGAGGAGAATAGTGAGAGCTCACTGTTATGTCAATATTACGGTCAAGAATGTAAAACAAACTACAAATTACAGAATGCTTGATACGCCATTTTGTGTGCATGTTACAATACATCGTGTTCTGTAGGCTGAACATTTCCACATCATAGCAATCACGTAAAACGGAAACTTTTCTAAACAACACATGGACAGTCTATTTAATTAAAACCTGTGTAACACTAACTGACTGACCGTTTTGTTTCAAAGTACACTCTGAAAACTTGGCAGCATATCACAGAACGGCAACTGTTGAATAGGCTTTGGAATAAGCTCTTTTTCTGTCTAACACCGTACTACCGACAGACTGCGCTGCATGTGGAACTGAGATCGGAACCAATGGGCCTGCCTCCTACATAATGACTTTAGCCATTCTTAAAAGCTTATAGCGTGTGCTGAAATCTGACACTGTGCAGAGGGCATCTGTTCTCCTGGAGGAGGACTCACCGTCAAAAACTAATTAGACACCACAATAGCTCTTATTCAGAGCTGCTTAGCCTGCTGCCCAAAAGCACACCGGAAGAGAGATAAAGTCAATCTAAAGAAGCTGAACGAATGCTAATTTTCACCACTTCTTTTCTGTGATATTAAAGGCCAGATCATAACTGAACTCAAAAACTCTTTTATCATAATCCTGAGTTCATAACGTGTCTTATTTCAAGTTTTTATCAGAAAAGACCTTTTCCTGTGCATACATTAGCATTAGACTGTTTTGTTTATATGTTCTATGTTCTCCCAGCTTACTTTACTTCACTTTAAAAAAGAGCAAAGTGAAAAGATTTAAGGTTATTTCAATTTCTTCTTATCCACAATTTTGCATATCTGAGATTGGAAAACTA